ACATTCATGGTTTTAAAAAAAGGTCATTCAAGTAAACAACTTGTAAATAAAAAACAAAACAAAACGAAACAAAAAACACTTGTAAAAGGTCTATAAAAATGTGTAAATGAAGGAAGTTTTTGATCGAAAAAATACCATTTTTAGATAATGTTTGAAGTTGTTTATATATCATCTCTACCACGTACGTGATTTGTCGGATCGAGGTCTACATCATAATATAATAATGTATAAACATATTTTTGTCACGCTCTAAAAAGCGGAAAGCGGACGCAAACAGGTAATTTAGATAGGGAAAAAACGGTCAGTAGGCTATATGGAGCCGAGATCTAGATATAGGAGTATATATATAAGAGAATGCGGGAAATAACATAATAATTATATTGATAGAATGTATCATTTGAAATATTTCTAATATTAAATGACATTCCTTCGTGGAATGCAATTAAAGAGAAAAAAACGTATGTACGAAAAGCTTGCCATGGCAAAATATAAAAAATGTTGCCATGGCAAATATTTCATAACGGTTTACTTGGGAATCTTATACATCGCTTTTAATATAATGGCATTTTTAAATAATTTAAACAAAGAAATATACATACTGTATACTAAAATAAAACCAAAGTAATGCCAAGGAAAGAAACATTAAAAACAACAGTGCTCTAGAATCAATCATTCTCAAGTCTTATATTATCTTGCTGTTCTTGTCATTGAACACCAGTTTCCCTTTTTTTTTCGTCGTTTTATTATAAAAGACCTTTTAGTTACAATCTGTTAATAAAGATTTCTGGTCTTTTATAAATAAGTATTTTTGAAATTGTCTCAAAAGCAACATATTGGTGAATAATGACTTTTTTAAATGTTTGGTTTAATTGCGGTATTTATTCAATTGCTTTGACAAAATCTGCGCTCTTGTTTCAGACAAACAACCAGAAATGACTATTGAAAAGTATAAAGTTTGTATTACATGTTTTTGGTTGTTTCTTTTAAATTTGGCATGGCAAAATGATAAATTATTTGTCATGGCTTATTTTGGCAAGACATTAAATTTAAATGTTAGAAAGACCTAGAAAAGAGAAAGACAGAACCCCTTAAGAAAGTCAAACATGGCAAAATTGAAAAATCTGCAGGCTCTGTTTGACTGAGCCTGTTCATTGGCTGTAGAGGTAATTGCAAGCTTCCGTTCACCGGGTAAAAATGTTTGAATTTTGAAACATTAGCAGATGTATTCATATAGCGGTAATTATGGAACCTTTAGTGTGTCACGTTACAGAGCATAGTGGAGACAATTTCACATAGTTTACATCAACATGCATTGCCTGACCTTTCAAATACACGGTGCATATCCATATCGGTACCCTCTTTGCGAAATCTGCTGAAACGGTACCCTCTTTGTATATGCACAGGTCATTCTCTGCTCAAAACAAACCAGCGATGGATAACAAGCCAGTAAAAATTCATTGTAATAAGGAAAGGAGGTATGACACGTGGAAAGGATGTATACCACGGAACACTAGAATGTTTTATCTATGTGCTGATTTGTCATGTGCCCGTTTTTCATGCACTGCAACCTCACAATAAGCTACAAAAAATCAACATGTCTTGCTTCGCCAATCACCTCGACATACTTTTTGGGCTGAAATGAACCTGTGGCTTGATTATATATGCATCATACATATTTAGTATGTTCATTTACATATCATCTTCGGACAAATGGCATAACATTGTCAAAAATAATTGTAAAATTCATAAAAACACCCTACTTTCGGTTTTGCAGCGGCACGGGCTACCTCTCTTCGTTTGAATTTTTATGTCACAGGTACCCTCTCATTTTTTAACACATAGGTACCTTCAAGGCACGACATATGCTTTTATTTGCGTTAATCGTTAAGTATGCATAAAAGTAAGAAATATTACATACCTTACGATTGACGCAAATTAAAGCATATATCGTGCCTTGAGGGTATTTGTAAAAAATATGAGAGGGTGCCTGTGATATAAAAATTCAAATGAAGAGAGGTAGCCCGTGCCGCTGCCAAACCGAAAGTAGGGTGTTTTTATGAATTTTACAATTATTTTGACGATATACTGCCATTTGTCCAAGATGATATTGTAAAATGAACATACTAAAATATGTATGATGCATATATAATCAAGCCCAGGTTCTTTCAGCCCGAAAAATATGTCGAGGTGATGGGCGAAGCAAGACATGTTGATTTTTTTGTAGCTTATTGGTGAAGTTGTAGTACATGAAAATCGGCACATGAAAAATAAAAAATAGATAAACATTCCTGTTCCTTGGTAATTCATTTTTTCTACGTGTCATACCCCTTTCCCTTATTAAAAATTTAAATTTACTGGTTTGGGTTATCCATCGCGGGTTTGGGTTTTTAGCAGAAAGTGGCCTGTGAGGGCCCCAAAGGGGGGTCCCCGTTTCAGCAGTTTTTCGCAAAGGGGGTTTCCGATAGGGAATTGCACCGGGGAAAATTTTTAAACTTTGAAAAAAAAAAATCTCGGTGTTCATTTTACTTTAAAAAGGCTATTTTTCCCCTAAAATTTCCCCTTATTTTTTTTTTAAAAAATTTTTTTAAGGGTTTTTGGGGGGTTTTCTTGGCTCTAGAAAAAAAATTTTTGGCTAATTGGCCCCCAAAAAAGGACTGTTTATTTTTTTTTGCTATTCTATAAAATCACTTCAGGTAACTGCAATCGGAAACTGCTTAAAACCCATTTTTTAAAACGTTATTTGAAAAACCCCAATTTTCCCTTTTTCTAAAGAATAAATATTCATTTGTTTAAACGAGGATCAGGCATATTCTGGAGCTCAATCAAGCTTGCGAGTTTTTTGCAGTCAAATCTTAAAAATTTTCGCTAAGGTTTTTGTTTGAATTTTAAGCCAAGGGTTCGTGGTAAGAATCGTAAAAACCTGTATTTTGAAGTCCGTTTAATAACATTTATTCTACGTATTGTTTTGTCCGACAACATACGGAGAACAGTCGCCTAGTACGGAAAAAATTCTCGAGGAATCGGCATAAAATTCCCAAAAAAAAAAAGGTAAAAAAAAGGAAAAGGGTAAGGGAGAAAAAGGGTTGTATTTTCGTTTTTCTTCAAAAGAGCATTGTATTTTACATAAATGTTTAAAAAGTTGAAAACTTAACCATTTGATTGACCTAAAACTTACCCTGTGATTGACCTATTTTCTTTTTTACATATGGTGATGTACATCAAGCTCCAATAATTTTTTTATTCAATGCCAATTTGGATCCATAAGGGTTCCCCACCCCCGTATAAAGGGTTTATAAGTGCCAATATCTGTTTTCAGTTGGAACCCTTCAATACTTTTTTTTTTACCATTGCTCAATTTGGAGATCGATATAGGGTTCAACCCCCGTGCGTATGGATACCTACATTTACGAGGAACAATTAGTCTTTTAGTCTTGCGGGACGGAATCATACAGACACTGTGAAGTACAAGTTATTCAAAAACAATTCCCTACCAAACGGAGAGTAATATTAATGGATTATAAAATAATAATCCAACACCAGGACGATTAAATGAAATTTTCATCTTTAATATAAAATTTAAATTGTTTTAAATTTTCCGTAAAAATCTTGCCCTTAAAAAAATTGTTTGGGTTTTAACTCATAAAAATTTTAAATCATGTAGTTTTTTTTCCCCAAAATTCAAAAGAAAAAAAGCCCAGGAAAAGACTTTTGGACGTATTTCCTTGCGGTTTGGGACATGGACAATAAAAATTTGTACTGTTTAAGCAAAAAGCGAAATTTTTTTATTATCTCGTTTGACAAAGGCTTTTTTTGATACAACTATACATTTTGGAGTACTTTTTTCAATTTTTTAAGTTACCTTCTGATTATTGCCCCTACATGCACTCGATTTTAATTTTAAAGCTTTTTTTTTAATATTAAATTCTTCTTCTTTTAATTTTCCCCGGCCGTTTTTCATTTTGTTTTCTTGATAAAGAAACAAAATTTTGAGGGGAAAGATTTTTGGAGGTGTTTTACCCATTTATCAAAACTTCCTTAATTAATCGACGATACTAATACCCAAATGTATCCAGTGTGTTAGCAATCAATAATGTTCGGTCCTTTCCGCCTATCTTTGGATGAAAAATCGTGGAGGTGTTTTGATTGGTGTGTTAGGTCAAATTACACGAAGTTACCAAAATGTATTTCAAGCTAATCAAAATGTACAAAATTGACTTTTGTTTTCAATAAAATGTACCAAACATTTTCTCGATAATATGTAGCCACTTTGTGTAATTAAAATACGCCTAATGAAAAGACAAAATGTACCAACTTGTTCATTTAAAGAAGGGACTCCACCACGTTTTTTGACAGTCTTGAAATTAAATTTTCCATTTGATGTAGGTCTGGACCATAAACATTGAAGTGTTTCAAAATTCTTAACTAAAAAAGGAAGAAAATGATTGCATACAAATTAGCCTTTTGAACCTCGGTAGTTTTCTTTACAATATTGTCATGTATGAATATTTCTCCATGATCGTTGAATAGTTTTCATAGCATAGTTTCCATAACAATTTATTTAACGAACTTAACACATATTAATACAGCAACAGCGATGTTGAATTATATATACAAAGACAACTGCATTTCAAATTTCTACTAACAAGTAGACCTTTGGGCTGATGGACTCAAATATAACCAACATAATTTATCATTACTGGCATCATTATTTGTCCCATTTTCTTTTGTTATTATGTCATGTAAAAGTTCCTAATTCTTAACGGCTGTAAAATTCAATGTAACAATTTGAAATAAAAACATAATAATACATATACATGTATACAGCAGCACCATGCATGTATATTAAACAAACCTTAAATTTCTAGGACAATCATTAAAGGCCATTTTTCTGATTCAAAAACTTGCACTTTCAAGACGCCTAGATTTTAACAAATACTTAGCATTAGTTGGTTGTTTGACATACTGACCACTAATGTAAGTTTCTTTTTCAAATATCCTGATTTTATTTTGTTTCTGTAAAACACTCTTTCAAGTTGGTAGGGGGATATACTCAGCTACAAGTGGCAGTAACTCATCAGTTTTAAGCCTCCAGTTATTAATGTCTTTAGAAACATGACACCATTGTTCACCGTGTCTAGGTTCAGCTGCTGTACAACGTTTGTGAACCTGTTTCTGTGAATCCTGAAAATGTTGTATTAATAATGAACATAATGTACAATCTATGTAGTGACAGTACATAATCTAAATATCATCAATGCGGCATTCTCATAAACTTTACAGCTTTACTCCTAGTCAAATATGACTCGGCTACAGGACAATGTTTATCAACCTCCCTGCAAAGCCTTTCACTCCCCTTGTAGGAAGCCACATCATGGTGCCATAGAATTATACCATCAACTCAGCAATCTTTCCAAACATAGGTGAAGTGAATACAAAATACTAGTGACTGGCCTTTGACACCAGTATATACCAAGGTAAGACTGTGTGCAATTTTTACAATTAGATATTTTGAAATCCCTTTAACTTTGAATGGATTGTTCAAAGCAATGTTCAAAATTTAAAGCTGGGCAAATTCATTGCACTAATTCAGCAGTCATTATAGTGTATGTGCATGCAAAATCAAAAGAATTATCTAAAAACTAGCATTATTCATACATCAATTTGCTTAATCAACATTATGAACTAATTGGCCAGGTAAAGTCTCTCAAATTTCCATCTTCAATTCTGTTACATTAATTTGATACATAGAGAACATTTATTCTTGCAAAAATCTTCAAATTGAAAAATGACCATGCTTGTACTTAAAATGACTGCAATAAGAAATTTAAAGAAGAAAGAGGAAAAAAAATCCAAGTGTTTATACCTCATCACCATGCATCATCTCAAACTTGTAAAAGTTGGCCCACGCATCACCAAGATCTGGATCTATCTTAACTGTTCTGTTAAACCATTCTCGTGCCTTCGCTATCTTTCTTTCAGACCAAAACATCCTGAAAACACACAGTAATGTTAATATGTAAACATATATATTTAGCATATTTCAAATGAAAACTCCCACAAAGTTTTTAATGACATCAATATTGTAAAGTATATGTAAGAATAAAAATTTCTAGATAATATTCATACATCTGGGTACCACGCTGTCTTATTAAAGACAGAATGCATTGTCAAGGAGTCAACTTCACCAGTTTAGTTTAATTTTAACAAATTTCATTACTCAGAATATATATAAATGTTACAATTAAAATTTTTACAATACAGATAAAGCATTTCAAATATTCTTAAAAAAAAAGAAACAAGATTAGAATGAAAGACTAAATGTCTTATGAAATTCTTGTTCAGGTTTATGTTCAATTATTCACTATTCAAACTACAACTTATCCACAGCCTCTAATGTGATAAGTCCTTTGTGTTTTAACTTATGTATGTTAAAGAAAAACAAGAATGGTTTATATAAATAAAACATATTTATAATCTATAAATGAAAGGCAAAGTAAGAATGTTACATACTTCGAGGCTGCCAGCAGCACATGTGGATCATGCTCACATCGTCTTAGACCATCAACAGATTTAGTTTTTCTTTGTGGTCGAGGCTCCATAAAAATTGCTTCTGCCCATAAAATACCAGATGACTGACACTCTTGTAATGCTGTAAATTTATACAGGACATTATACAGATTTATAAAGTTACCAATTTGGCAATACAGGGACAATGATTCATGTTTTATGCTCCCATCATTCACCACAATGTTGGGTCAATACAATGGTTATATCTTTGGGATGTTCAAAATAAGTGGGGAGTCTTTCAAACAGAAGTTGACCATAGACATTCCAATCAAGCGAGCTTTATCTGTGACATATCCAAAAGGCTGGGGTAGAACAATTGAGGCAAATGTTACAATTAAATTGTCCATTACTGACATGTTATCCTAGCCAAAATGATTAGGGAACGCTTTAGAGACTGAAACATGCTTTAAATGATGATTTTGTCGATTAAAATTCATTTGGGGGAATTTAACGGTAAAACTTGTGGGAAGGTCCACATATTATAATTGGAAACATCTGTCTGGAAGATGAAACTTTAATTCGAGAATTATAATTGATAAGGAAGTATATTCAATTACCTTTGGCCATCAAAGTCTGGGCAATGTTTTTCATTCCACCTCTATTTTCTAGCCGAATAGCTTCCAACCAAAGATCTGCAGTACCTGGATTTTTCAGTCTCGCTTTCTCTAGGATGGATCGAGCCTTAATAAGCTGCCCAGTCTTCTCTTCTAATCTTGATAACAATAGCCATAATGGTATAGCATGAGGGCATTTCTTAAGCTGAAATATATTAATTGTATAAATTATATAAATTGTTTGAAGTCATAAAGATATTGCAATATTTGAAGTATTGGGAAATATTTCATTTAGGTATACAAGTATGGCATGTGGCACTTCTTTAGCTGAAATATTCATATATATATTTTGTACTGATGACAACAAGTCTAGATGTTCACACTTCCTGTGCTGGAGCTAGATTCTATACTGATGGTTACTCACTTTTTTTATTTTGATATTGAAATTCCTTAAGCTTTGAATGATAAGCTATATAACTATTGTTAATTACAGTCATATTCATGGGTGGCCATGATTTGTTGTCCTAGCATTTTCAACAGTGCTTGTTTGATACACTATATTTTCTAATAATCCAAGCATTTTGTGTTGAAGAAATTTGCCAGATACATTTATTTTACTTTCATGTTTAAAACTAAAATCCAATTGTTTTCTTTCTAAAGGAACATCTGAAAAAAAAATGTGATACAAACAGAAATCTTGTTGACTCAAGGACAGAGACAAATTTAGGGCACCAGACAATATATACCAAACTGGTGACTGAGTGGTAAACATTGTATATTCATTATATGATTTTCATACAAGTTCAATATGATCATCGTAAGTAACCAAATGATGAAGGTTAAATAACTTTTTTATTTGCACAACTTCGCACTCCAAATTAATAATATATGTAATTGCCAATGCATCATACAATTTTCCAACACATATACAAACAGATTTCAAATGTTACGATGGTGAAGAATTATCTCAGTGTCTCTATATATAGGTAATAATGACACTCACCCCTAGATTATAAGCCTCCCTGGCCTCTGTAAGATGTCCTCCCTGTTCCTCTATCTGTCCTCTCATCATCCATAACTACAAATATATAACACTATATGTAATCTATTTCAATATATAGACGATATTGAATGAGTGTAGGTTTAATACTTCATTTATTGAACGAGTTGAATAAAATCATATTATGCAAGCCTCTGGTGAGCATAATATTGTTTAATTCAACGAGTTCAATAAATTTAGTATTGGATCTACACGAATATAATATTCTGTTTATCACATAAGTTTATAAATAAGAATGGTAAACTGTTAAAAAGAGTAATTTTTAATTGACACAGCTAACCAGTGAATTTTGTTTTAATTTTCAAAACAACCTGTGGCTTTCTGAAGAGGAAAATATAGCATGATAAATCAAGGGGAAAAGAAAATTCCAAAAACTGACCACACATTTTACAAAATTTTCAGTTTCAATTCAATTTAACATGCATGGTACAAAGCAGAGGCTATCTATAGGGACAGCTTTCTGCCTTCTAGCTGATATAAGTCAGCTGCTCATGGTTCTAGTGAAGAATGTGCACAGGGCATTTTAGGAGAAAATATAAATCACTGCTAACATTAGCGCTCTTTAACGCTATGTTTATACATAAGGCAAATGTCTTAATGTAAAAGTGTTATTACATAAATGTAAAATTGTTTTTATTTAATGGCATTATTACACTCCTGTGCCATGGTTTATGTGATAAGTATTTGTATTATAAACTGTTATGAAAACATTTATTGTCACTTATTACTTTTTGTACTCCCCCGCCCCTCCCAACACAGTGTTGTCATTAGGTGTCGGCTGTAGGCTTAAATGACCGTCTCTAATGCATTTTTGGCCGTCTCAAAACTTGGAAAGTACTCTTTGTTGTACATGATAAAATAAAAAATTGACTGTCTCTAACTCAAATTCAACCGTTTCAGAAATTTTGTAATAAAAACCCTTTATGAAATTAATAAATTGATAAACTCATAAAATTCTAGTAAATATGTTATATTAAGTCATTCTTTATGAAATTACCACATTGACAAACTAATATAATTCTAGTAAATATGTAACATTGTGTCATTTGGGCAGACCAAAAACAATATGGCCTCCTGATCATAGATCCTTAAGGTAGGGAAGTTGTTCTTGGATGCTTCACATCGTCTTGATGTGGTAGACATTTGTGCCAAGCTTTTTCAAAATCCCTCAATGTATGACAAAGTAACAGTCCGGTTACGAAAGAAGTGGGGACGCACAGACAGATGTACGGTGCGATTTTAATATGCTGATTTTGGAGACATAAAAAAAATCTTAATTTGACAAAAATTGCAGTTAAAAATAGCGTACCTTTGGAAAATCTGGATAATGTTTTGTAGCATCCTCGAGAAGTTTTCTGGCATTTGCTATTTCTCCAAGACACCACTCTAACTTTACTGACTTCATGAACACCTACAAGGAACAAGTAATAACAGCTTTATAACACTGCAAGTTTGTAACTTCACTTTTCATTGGATAACTGGGACATCAATATTAACTATATACACAAGCTGGCACCTACTCTATTTTTCCACAAGTATTTACCACCTTACAATATAGTAGATATAACATACCCTAGCTGTGGGAGCACTAGCTCGTGCCTTCTGTAACAATCTTCTCGCACGTTCAAACTCGTTATTCTCAGACTCAAGCTTCACAGCAGCTAACCAGATTTCTTCACTATTCGGATTGGCCTGGAAAGCAAGAGCCAGGATACTTCTTGCTGCAGGTACATCGCCCTGAAATTATGACGAGGAGAAAAACATTGTCCATAACTTTTTTTTGATAATGTCAGCATATACATTAATTTTCCTAAAAATATTTTCTCAGCTCAATACATTGACTGTCACTTCCTATTTCTGTATTATTCTATTCCTGCAAATATGCAGCTGCTTTCAAAATTTGCTTTGTGAGTCTTTAATATTTCCATGAAGCAGGACTTAAAATCTTTTCTTACTGCTGCAAGTGTATACTTTTGATAGCTTTTATAGATTATAAATCACTAGAGCAATATTAAATTCATACAGTGACTCTCTTGTAACACTAGGATAAGGAAATTAATGCTACACTTATCAATATTTTAAGCACATATGTCATATGGACAGTATCTCTTTAAACAACTGGACATTAATATAAAATAATTAACTTATATAATTGGGCAGACTATATAGAAAGATGACAAGGATAAAACTTACAGCTAGCCATTTAGACTTGGCCCCCATCAACCACAGAACTTCAGCTTTAGGACAATGTGCAACCGCTCTTTGTAACAGTGCTTCTAATGACTCCCTGAAAATATATAACAATAATTATTTTATGCAAATCTGCTGTCAGTTTTAATTTTATCATACTTGTGCATAACCTGGCATACGGTGGTGCACATGGATATTTCTTTAACAAGTTTTAGATTCTGACTGTAATAGTAACACCTCCTAGATGGTGGTAAAAAATGTAAATTTTGGGACATTGTCATAGCAGGAAAGGGACATTTTTATGTCAAGATCAAGCTCATACATAAAACTTACGAAATTTTGGGACATATTCTAGATGAAAATTGTGTTAAATTACACCTTAAAGTTATCAAACTTAGCATTTAATAACTTATCTTAAGTGGAAAAAAGAGGCATGATCATATCAAAATATGACTTTAAGACTTGATCTTTACATTATGACCTCTCATAAAAATTTCAGGCTTCATGTTTGCATGGTTTCAGAATATTTAAAACAAAATATTTCCGCTGATCAGGGCAGTACAGCCAATGTTGTGTAATGAAGACCCTATCTGAAGATAACATAGCTGATAGTTATTTTGTTGGAAGACAAGCAGTTAAACAGAACTTATCATATGACTTCAATTCATAGATATATATGGGTATAAAAAACACTCAACTCAAATACTATGTTAAATTCATAATAAAATAACAAATATTACCTGCTTCCAAAATTCTTCTCAAAATATGCAGCTCTTAACCAAATACTCTTTTTACTTGGAAACACAGACAATGCATATGCATAAATTGCACGTGCACATTCGTAAGCTCCGTGTGAGGCACACTGTAAGAGAACAATTCTACATTACTATGATAAACATGTATATTCTCGACCTCTGTATTATCTACGTAGCTCTATTACTAACGTATCCCGAATATTTTGAGATGTGTGATCATGCATACATTAAAGTTAAAAATCTTTGATAACAAAGACAACAAAACATGCAACCTTTATGTTAAATTTGTCTGCTTGACACAAAATATAAACTATTAAATTCATCATTGATAAATAATTACAGACATGTAGGAAAAGTTAATTGTGTTGATACAAGGCAGGCAAAATCTGATTCTGACTTACTTATTTGTTTTTATCTGAAGTATAATTATCTCTGTGAAACCTCCCATGTGCTCAGAAAGGTCATCTACATGTATATAACCCTCTTTAAAAAATTATTTCAGTAACATCGAAAGATGTATTCAATTTGAAAAAGGCAGACATGTTTACTAATAGTGTGTTCATAAATTTATATTTTTTCCATTATCTGATTTCATTAGACTAAGTTTAACATACTGTCAGCAATCCAAATTTTCTTTTTTTAGATTAATATTCTCTTAAAGTCTTAAAGGAGTTCCACTGAGGTTCAGACCCACTTCAAATGGTATACAAATTTTGGACAAATATTTCCAGTCCTGTCACCTCAAAAAAACTCAGTGGAGTCCCTTTAATAAAGGATGTTAAGGTAATAAGTTTCCCACTTACAGCTTCAGCATCCTCCATCCATGTGTGTTTTTTATCTTCTTCCTCTACACCTATACCAATCACTGACCGTCTGAAAACAAAATATATATACATGTTAAACTTTCGAAAATTATATATGCTATTTAAAATAATTAAGTTTTTATATACACATGCCTATGTTTTATTGTAAAAAAACAGTAAAAGATGTTTATTTTATCAAAATATTATAACATTTCTTTTACACGCAAATTGTGGCGTCTATTAACATAGACGTTAGTTTGGTACGTTTATGTCATTTCCTTTATGCATCAACTGATTGAGCTAATAAAGCAAAACATGTATTGATATTTAGAATTGTGTGTTGTTTTTTTTATCTATTTGTCCCATGTACAACCTAAAAAAAATTCTAAATCCTGTAGTTACCAGAAAATATGACCTTTTTATTTATAAGTCAGGAACCACGCTTTGAACAAACTGCTGCAATGGTGCATACAAAATTTCTATGCTTTAAGTCTATATACTTTGAAGAAGAAAATTTTTAATGATTTAACAACATGAGTCTTTTAAAAATCTAGCGATGAGAGGTCATGGTTTGATCAAATTTAGATTAAAATTGGAATAGAATGCCATGTTTGTTTTTTTATTCCTCTTCTTCTACACCTATAATAATCACTGAACATCTAAAAGATTTATCAATGCAATAGATCAAAACCATTTCAATAACTTTGGTAGAGCTTTGAGCAAGAATGACCCAAGGCACATTTCTTCAAATTTGGCAGTGTGGCTTCAATGAGATGTTATTTGTAACAATTGTCGAGTATGGAAGACAAATGACAGATAGATCCAATTTGTTTGTTACAGTTAGGTTTCGGTTTCACCAACACAGTAAATGTCAAGTGGCCACTTGCTAGTATCACTGGTGGAGGAAGATCTCAGGAGCTTTCAAGTATTATTTCAGGAGCAAGTGGGACACTAGAATCAAACCAATGACCTTTTGCAATCAATCTGAATATCTTCATCAAATAGAAGAATTTGACAGTTCTTGGTGGGCTTCAATAAATAAATAAATAAAAAATCAGCAACATTTACCACTTTGCCATTTAAGTGCAAAAAGCTTTTGTGTAAACAATTTATGAGGGGAGAATTACAATAAGTGTTAAGCTTTCAGTTCAATCCACTTTATCATATCATATTAATTTTCTCTGTGTTGTGTAGAATTGTAATTTGATAATGTTTAAACCAAAGATTTATGAGAAAAGATAGAAACTTACATAATAGCTTGACAAGTATGTATACTACCAGCTTTCTCACAATCTTCTGCATCTTTTAACCATTGCTCTTTATTGATTTCTACCATATTTGCACGTAATGAATTCAACGCTGTAAATAAATACACATCATGGAATGTTTGGAAAGCAAATCTATGTAAGCAAGTAACTGCCAAAATCTTCAGTTCATTAAATTAGTAGAAAAATCCAAGAGCAATTGCTGTGAACCATTTGTATTCTAAGAGCAATAGCTGTCTACCATCTGTTGTAACAGTGCAAGACATGGAGCATCACCAAATTTTAAAGTCTGAGGTCCTTAGAAGTTACTCTCTCCATACTGAGATAGTGTGTTTTAGCTATTTTCAAGGTCATAAAGTGACCTTCCAGCCTTGGTTGTTTAGGAAGACCTAAGTGTCCCTCAAGGCATTATTTCAGGCACAAGCAAGCTTCTTAAGTAGAACCACAAACTTTAAGTCAGCCAGCTCAATAGCTTCCTCAAGTAAAAGATTCCAAAGCTTTTTATTTGTTGGATTTAAAGTCACACTGACATTGTCAAGGTCATATGGTGACTTTTCAGCTTTACTGTTTGAGGGGAACATCAGGTGCCCTTTGAAAATTATTTCAGGGACAAGCAGGTACCGGAGTAAAAAATTACTAACCTTCTGTGAGGTAGTTGGATAAACTTCCTCACATGAAAGAATTGGCAGGATTTGAACCTACAGCTGTTATTAGCAATTGATTTAAATCACTTGAATCTAAGTTTTTGATGGTATTTGAACACAGATGCATAGGGGAGATAATCAAGGGCAAGATTTTCGAAGTAAGCAACCTTGACAAATGGGCCAAGATAGCCAATGTTTTTACATTGGTTCAAAGAAGAATATTAACAATTTTACCCCTTTCTACAATTTTCTCCACCATAGGTATATTATTGTTGGCCTCTTCTAGTTTCGCGGCACTGACCCAAATAAGACGATCTGTAGGAATGTTCTCTCGGGCTTTGTTTAATACTTTCCTTGCGTTTCCGTAATTTTCCAGACGGGCTAAAGCCAACCATAACTAAATCAGACAAGTAAAAAGTAAAATGATATACACAATTTGCAAAAACGTTTTCCTGCGCACAGTAAGTTAAATCATTTTGCTTAAGTAAGTGTTATAAGTTCAGTAAATTTGGTAAAACTAAACTACATTGATAAGGTAATGTATTTAATGCTAATAAACATGAGTTTTCCAGTATAGGAACCTACCGCAATAGCAATGAAAACAAAGCAAATGAAGCCTTCTTTTGGACAATTTTTGAAGACTTTAAAATTTAAACAAAAGATTTGTTAAATTTAAAATGTAGTGAATATGACAAAATCATGAGTCATTGTCATAAAACCTGACAAGAAGTCAATGTAATAAAATATATCTGACACACAGTCAATGTAATAAAATATATCTGACACACAGTCAATGTCATTAAATATATCTGACATGCAGTCAATGTCATAAAATATATCTGACACATAGTCAATGTAATAAAAATATATCTGACACACAGTCAATGTAATAAAATTTATCTGACACACAGTCAATGTAATAAAATATATCTGACACACAGTCAATGTCATTAAATATATCTGACATGCAGTCAATGTAATAAAATATATCTGACACATAGTCAATGTAATAAAAATATATCTGACACACAGTCAATGTAATAAAAATATATCTGACATGCAGTCAATGTAATAAAATATATCTGACACACAGTCAATGTAATAAAATTTATCTGACACACAGTCAATGTAATAAAATATATCTGACACACAGTCAATGTAATAACATTTATCTGACACACAGTCAATGTAATAAAATATATCTGACACACAGTCAATGTAATAAAATATATCTGACACACAGTCAATGTAATAAAATATATCTGACACACAGTCAATGTAATAAAATTTATCTGACACACAGTCAATGTAATAAAATTTATCTGACACACAGTCAATGTAATAAAATATATCTGACACACAGTCAATGTAATAAAATTTATCTGACACACAGTCAATGTAATAAAATATATCTGACACACAGTCAATGTAATAAAATTTATCTGACACACAGTCAATGTAATAAAATATATCTGACACACAGTCAATGTAATATAAAACTAGAACTGTGTCCAAAGGACATGGATGCCCCCACTGTGCAGATGTGCTCGTAAACAAGAGCATGCATATTCTTCATGTAAGATTTTTATGTGGAACTTTTTATTAAAATCTGCCATCCGGTTTAAGAGGAGTTGGGTTCACAAAATTTCTATATGGTATATAGTGAAAAAATCAACAAAGGGCCATAATTCTGTTAAATTTGGTCGCAGCAAAAATTCCTTCCTTTACTACCATCTACACATTAAGGTTGTTCATCCCTGGAAGTTTAAGCAAAATCTGCCGTCCGGTTTAAGAGGAGTTGGGTTCACAAAATTTCTATATGGTATAAAGTGAAAAAATCAACAAAGGCCCATAATTCTGTTAAATTTGGTCGCAACCAAAATTCCTTCCTTTACTACCATCTACACATTAAGGTTGTTACTCCCTGGAAGTTTAAGCAAAATCTGCCATTCGGTTTAAGAGGAGTTGCATTCACAAAATTTCTACATATTATATAGTGATAAAATCAACAAAGGGCCATAATCCTGTTAAATTTGCTCGCAGCGAAAATTCCTTCCTTTACTGCCATCTTCACATTAAGGTTGTTTATCCCTGGAAGTTTAAGCAAAATCTGCCATACGGTTTAAGAGGAGTTGCGTTCAAAAGATTTCGGGACATACGTACAGACGGACGGACAGACGTTCCAATATTTTGGGTTTAGGGGCTATTTTCTTTGTTATTTTCTTTGTTTTCTTAAGGGCTACTAGCCCATAAACCCTTTGATCACGGTATGAACCTATTGTTCCCTTTCGTTCTTTTTACTGTTATATAGCCCCTAAACCCAAAATGTTTGCTCGGACGGACAGACAAGTGCAACGCTATATGCACCCCACTTTGTGGGGGCATAATTATATCTGACACACAGTCAATGAAATAAAATATACTTGACACACAATGTCATAAAATATATCTGAAATGCAGTCAATGTCATAAAATATATCTGAAATGCAGTCAATGTCATAAAATATATCTAACAAACTGTATAACATGCAATAAAACCTGACAACCTATCCAAATAATTAAAGAATGACAAAAAGCTAAAATCATTAATCTGATATATGATTACCTCAACACTTGTTGGACAACATTCTACTGCACGACTTAACATTATCCTGGCATCTTCTTCATCTTCTAATTCAACTGCAAGTTTCCACAACTTCACAGAGTTAGGAATATTCTCTAAGGCTATAAAAATATACCAAATAATTATATTTTAAAAGATTTATATATGGCTAATAATTTTATGTGAAACAGATCGACAGTAAAGGTAATGTATGCTCCCTGAACCTGCACCTTTATCAATCTATTTAAATGCAAAATATGTAAAACAAAGATTCTAACACTCCTCATGCTTTTGTCACTATACACAAAGAAGAAAAATTACGGTTCTAAACTGCCAATAAATACTGGTAAGGGACTATATGCATATGCGGCTGTTATTTTTTTTCCCTCGAAAATACAGTAAACAATTTTTTTAAGGTAACTATAATAACGCATTTTTATTGATATTTTCCGTTCTTACAATGTTTTCTTTTCAAAAAATGCTAAAATCACTACCTCCATAGGTTTGATCCATATCAGTTCATAAAATTGATATCACAAATCGGCGCAAAATTAGTAAACAGCGTAATGACGTCATCCTAAGTATACAACTCATTCATAAAGGCGATAGAAAGACGTCATTTTAAACTGACAAGAATGATTAATCAAGCCCTGATGTTAAAAAGATACAATCCAGTCTGACAGGTAAGTTTTAATTGTTGAAAACTTGATAAAATAACTATTTATTTTTTTTGGGCTGTATTATTTCTTTTATTTAACAATTTCTGTATCTTAGCAAAAATAGGGTGCGAAATTGAACAACTTTGTATGAACATCAGCACCGGAAGTAATTTCCGCTTGAAAAATAGCATAAGTGATCTTCCTTATTTTGTCTTGATATTTTGTACGGCCTTCGTGGTCAATTCCTATTCATCAAAACTCCAAACCGGTGTTAAATAGCAGATAAACACCGCTCAGACTGATACCACTTCTTAGATTTTTAAAAAATATATTTTAAGCATTTCAATTTTCAAATTAGGTATCATTCTGTTTTGTTCAAAGAAAAAGAAATAGAGAAAATCTAAATAAACCTTTTCTATAAACTCTTTTCTTTGCTTTTAATTCTGTCTCTATCTCGGCAGCCTTACTCCAGATTCTCACTGACTGTGGTAGTTGTCTAACTGCCTGGGCAACAACTGCCTTAGCTTGATCACCAGGCTATATTTAGAAACAAGAGATGATTACAGGTCAATGCACTAAACTATTCTTAAAGGCACATTATGCCTCAGAAGTCCATATATTTTAAAATGTCAAACATGTGTTTAATTAGGGGTGTGGATCGTCGGATAAGTGACGATCCTACCCAAACCACGATTCAGCACTTACGGTTCACAAATCGAACCACAAATCTTTTGTTATCAAGACACCCATATAAACATGTACATTAGTAATAAAAACATGTTTATTTAAAAAAAAACAATACTAAACATTAAACATACATAATATAAACTAGGTTTATGTTTTTATTCTTTGGATGATTATTTTTGTTTTGTTTTTTGAAACCAATTACTTCCTAGCTCAGCATCATGGTACATGGTCTTTAACCGTCAAATTGTATTTAGGTAAACTTCATATATTTATACTCAAATCATATTTTTCTCGATTTTAAAAGTGTGAGAAACAGTGAATGTATATAATAAAAAATTAGATCGCGATCCACGATCTCTGGGCTTAAGAATATTCAAACTCGATTTTTGACTTTGATTCGTGATTATCCAAATACTCGGATACTCGCCCCAGCCCTATGTTTAATAGTGTTTAAATAATGGGTTAAGTGCATGTTATATATGATTTACAGCTGAAAAAAGTAGCCCTGAACAATGCAATTATGTGTCGTTAAGGTAGTAGAATTTAAACAAAGTAGTATTTTGACTTCAATACAAAATACTGATTTACTATACGAATTTCCAACGGAACTAAAGATGCATAAGATAGTTTATGTATATAGGAAATGAGTATTTCTTTGGAAACTGTAATAAGAAACCAAAAATAAACAAACTGTAAGAAGAAACCGAAAATAAACAGTTTTTGAGAGATTAGAAAGATAGCATTTCTGAGGTATAATGGGCCTTTAATACTTGATAGAAAATGATGGCTATACAGACATTTCCTCAGTTCACTATGTCCAATAATACAGTGGCATTTATGCCATAGTAATGGGTTAAGTTCAGTGATCTTCCATTATAAACTTACAGACATGTGTGAAGATTTAAAAAAAATACCTTCAGTGGTTGTGTAGATATAATTTATACCCAAATATCTTACATGGAACTTTTTTTTTAGATCACAATCATTATGGGGTATGTGATATTATTACCATCTATGCAAGACTTTTGGGTAATTCAACCTTACAAGGACATTAGTGAAGTTTGAAAAATGATGGTTTTGGATATGAAACAACACACTTAACCTTCACAACATTCTAAGATTCCTCCACATTCTTATATTATTTATTATTCCTAATGAAGTAGATAAGTGTACATATTATGTTACTGTCAGGAATGACCAATGAAAATTGACATTACAAAGGTGCACTATCTCAAATCAGTCTTACCATGAGTCTAGCAGCCTCTAACCACACATCTTCAGATTTCGGACATTCCTCGCAGCCCTTCATGATAAGATTTCGAGCGGCCTGAATCTTTCCTGTGACTTCTTCCAGACGAGCAGACGCTATCCAAGCCGGTGGATGTTTCGGGTTTGTCTCTCTGACTGACTTCAGTAAAAGTCTCGCCTTTTTAACATCACTAAAGAAACATTATCATTTTTATTGACTTCAGTAAACATGTATCTAATTTCAACATCGCTAAAAATAACCACAACAAAAAACAATAACAGCATCAATATCGAAAAACAAAATCTTCAAAATAAGTAATTTATGTTTTAATGTTTCATTTAATTTAAACCAACAGTATGACTCTTATCTTAAGACAATTCAAGCCTTACTGGTTAACAGTACTTCTCCATGCAATATTTCAAGTAACAATAACATGAAAAAACACCATCCTTCTCCCATAGTTTATTTACTACTACCCTTGAAAGAAAGAAATCTCCAACGACAACGAAATAAACAAGAACAATCTGATAAATCAATGAATATTTTCACCTAATACCTTCTATAAAGACAAATTCTTTAGTTACAACTCTTGAATTGAACGGCTGAAATCCTCTGCACGAGCAATGATGAAATAAACTGTTGACCAATCAACATTTTTAACTGTTTCACCCTTGTCAGCAAAGTATTGCAAAGTATTAGGCCATGTCATTGGTGTTTGTGAAACAGTCAAAACTCTTGTCCCTTAGTATCAGGACAATATTTCGAACTGTTGCCCTAGACCTTTGGCTCTGGCAACATTTCCAAATGTCATCCCTGATACCTCGGGGCAACAATTTTGACTGTTCAAGAAGCACAATCACCACTTTAAGGCTAAAAAGAAGGCTATTTTTAGCCTTGGTGATCTTGATCCTATTGACCTTATACTCTATCAAAATAAATGTTATATTTTTAATGTGAGTAATAGTCTTACTTGATGTCCCCTCCATGTGACGGTAACATAGACTGTAGATCTGTGAGATATCCTTTAGGATCAACAACTGTTTGTCCACTCACGGAATCTGATACCTTTTAACATAACATAACATACATGATAAAATTTGGTCTATGAGACAGCCACAATATTTATTGTTAGAGTATTAGCAGTGTTAAAGGAACTCCATTGAGGCCAAAAAATTCCAAAGTTGAACATTTTACATAGATCAGCTGGGCACTTAATAAAACAGAAAGATTTGCAAAAGATTATAAAGAAATACTCTTAGAAGTAATTTGAAAATCATAATTTTAAGTCATTCTAGCCCGATTTTACTGAAATGGGTTGGGTCAATTTCACTGTTAGAATAAATATTCTGGGAAAAAGGAAGTGCATGAAGGATCTGAAAGTTAACATAAAAGTTATTGGTCTAGAACTATTACAAATATGACATTTATCTTGAAAATTAATCTCCTGTGCCGTCATCTTAAAAAACCTCAGTGTAGTCCTAGCTAACCCTTTATCTGCTCAATTTGAATAATGGATTTGCCCTGCTTTGAGTCTGAAATAGTCTATTCAAAGACTATGTTTTAGGTATTTCAATATCAAAATACAATAATTGTGCTGTTAACAGTAGAGCCTGGTCCTGTGCAGGGCAAGCCTGTCTTTATACTATCATTTTCTATTCCAGCAAGTTAAGGTTTAAGATACCAAATTTTAACATGTTTTGTATATAAAAGTTAAATAACAATAAATACTACCCTTATCTGTCCCCTAAAGTGTAAATAAGAGTTAAAGAAGCCGATCAAACAAAAGATATGTGCAGTTAATAAAATAAATGTTCCTGTCATTCTTAGAAGTTATCATGGCAAATACATTGTCATATGAAGCACTGCAATATGAAATATACAGATTTAACAGGTGCCTTGTCACTTAAATATCTGTACAAACTTTATATACCTGAGTAAGTTTAATGTCCATCAGCGTATTCCTAGCCTGTCCGATCTTTTTCATATCAATATCTCCTGGCGTAACACCACCAGGTGTATTCAACCCTGGTGTAAGAGCTCCACCGTAAGGTGTGGTCAGACCACCAAATTTCTGTAACACATTGTCAACTCTAAGTTATGTAAATCTTACTATTTTGAAAAGCACATTTAATGAATGAGAACAAACCTAATTTATTCCTTTAAACAAGCATATAATCATCAGCTCTAAAGCATGTTGGAAACCTATCATCTGCCTTTTCCTTTTTGTTGTACTCTTTGTGCAAAGTTTACTTCAGAAACAGCATAAAGAATGCCTCAGTTAGAACGACAATTACTCTGAATCAAATTTGGCTTCATTACATCAGGGGATGTAACTTTTGTTCAATTTTGGTTACGAGAATCAAAATTCAGATTCAATTTTGGCCAAAACTCAAATCAATTTTGGTTACATAACCGGCTGTTACTCTTTAGAAATTTATAATGGTGCATAACATCTATTCCAAGTTTTAACTATTATTTAAAAAATAATACATTACTGCTTATTCTATAAATGAAAAAAGAATATCACAAAGAGGCTCTCACCTGCTCTCTTTCAGAGAGTACATTACTTGTACCACTAGCAGCTGCCCTAGATAAAACACTGTCTGGCACTGGTGTGTACCTGAAAGATCAATGGTTAAAGGTCAATGTTGTAGTTAAAGGTCAAATCTTATTGTATTATATAATATTTAATTTGTACAAAGGTCAAATATGAACCTTCTATGATATATTTATACACATAACAGGCTTGTTCTGTTTGGAATTGGAAGTAATTATTGTTAATCCTTGAACAGATTTAACCCTGAACATGCTGAATGTTTGAAATGCACTTGTCCCACTTCGATTTTGGGACTGCCCATTATCAATTTTAGGGATATGAATTTGAATATTTCAAGTTTGTCAAGCACCTGTATAGAGCCTGGTCAGACTGCACTGATGTGCAGGCTTGCTTGGCTCTATATTGGTGGCAAAGGCTTAACACTGTATGTTCCAGAATTTTAAGGGTTAAGTATGAAAATTCTGAAGTTAAACTATCAACAGTGCAAGGAATTAAGTATGAAAAATTCTGTAAACACAGTATATTTTGCTTACTTTCTGTATCCTATCATTAAGGTACATGTATATTGAATTCAATCTATTGAGCAATATTCCCCAATTCTTTCATCAATGTTTATCCAAACATGTCAAATTCTGTAACTCAAATTTTTCCACATTTTTCAGTAATTTAATTAGCCAAAAATAAAGAGAAATAGACCAAAGTCAGGGTTGTCTTTTTAGATTCATCTAGAGATTTTTGGTTTAATCACATGCAACAGTGTGTTTTTTGTTTAAAAATGGTCCAGAATACATTAGAGGTATTCATTGCATAAATCTCTGATCTGTCCAATTCAAATTATCCATTAAAGTGGATACAAAGAGTTTCACCACAACATATTTGTAAAACAAAAGAGCATGTGTCAATGTTTGTGGTTAATTTTATTGTTATTCAGATGAATGGTCAGAGTAGAGAACTATCTTTTGGCTTTCAACTGCCTCTTTTTGACAATCCTGTAAAGCAGGTATGTACATACTTTTCTGCCCTTGGATTTCTCTGTTTCCGGTTCCTAGCATCACCAACCTCAGGTATATTCATCCATTCATCTGTACTGACACCAGCAAGATCTCTCTATATATAACATAGATAAATGTAGAATGTTCATTATGCAAGGAATATGATATGCAGCATAATATTTTGTTCTGGAACATTTTATTTACAAGTTTAAATAAAATATTCATGTATGTTAAATGACAGACAATTTGTTAGATATGTTTTTAGAATTACAGAAACAATGCTATTTTATTGTCATTAAATTTTATAAAAATATTTCATTAGATATAGCTTTTTACCCTTTAAAACACCTATCAAAAAATTATATTTTTTAAGAAAACAATATGTACAGGATAACGGATATTTTTTTATAAAACCCGAGATTATATATGCCCTAAAACATGAATCTAGTTATCATTTAATTTTCACCATTTCTGGGAATTTTCGAGATTTATTCAGGAATTATCAAAATTTTGTCAATTGGGAAAAAATCCTTTGATTATTCAACCTCAATTTTGTGCAAAAAATCAATGTTTATACAATTCCTATGATTTTTTTAAATTAACCAAATGTCAATCATTAACAAATAGGGGTGCAATGATACAGCTTTCTCTTGATTAAATTCTTGCTTTGTGATTTCATTCTATTACTCTGGCTATGTTAACATTAATTTTCTATAGGGAATACTTAAAAAACAATATTTAGCTTAACTGAAAGACACCAAACTTTAATGACCCAAGAGCGTCAAAACTTTGTGGTTTGTCTTCTATTATTAGACAACTCATTTTAGTGTTAACATTACACATGTTTTGATTGATTAAGCGTTCTGAAAGAAATGCTTGCTTAGAAAATGTTTGTTTAATGTCAGAAATGAGTTAGTTTCTAGAACATGGTGATCAAAGCGTAATACAGCCATCATAAATCAGGAATCATCAGTTCTGTATCCTAGTTCTACATGATTGACAGTAATCCCCTAGTCCTATCTACAAAGACTAGAAATCCAAGAACTCACACTGTACCTTAAGATCTGAAAACTGCTGTTGAATTTTGGGCCGCTCCTGACGATATTTTTCGATCTGTTCTTGCAATTTCTTCTCGCGTCTTTCCTTGCGTTTCTCGTCCATTCGTTTATCAAGTGCCTCATAGACGGCATCTGCCTCCTCGTCATCTTTATCATATGGATCTTTGCTACATAAACTTCCCCCATAACCTGTAAACTGTTAACAATTACAAAACTGTTAAATTATCCATTAAAATAATTGCAGTATAAACTAAAAAGGTTCTTTTTTATGTCAAAAAAATGTCATAACGTGTATTGTTATTTCAAAACCTTGTCTCACAGAAAAAGCTCCTTTTTTTTTCCTGCTGATTTTCAACTCACATAAATTTTGTTAGCAATTATTTTGCGATTCTAGCGTAAGAATTTTTTTTTAGTGAATTACCTCATCGTAGTTAGCATCGTTCAAGTCTTCTTCTTCCTCCTCATCCTTCGACTTCTTTGCCGGGGGTCCGTGACGATCATCCCTGTAAAAAAATTAATCCAGTTTCATTCAAGGTACCAAATTCACCGGACTGAATTCTTCTTTCCATAAAAATTAATTCTATATTCAATGATTAAAACTTTAAATCTTATTAGCCTGAAAACTTTAATTCCTTCAAAGATGTTATGTTTTTTGGGGGTTGGGATTTACACGATTTACTGGTGATTAGAACCACCAATATTTCATAAGGTAGATGGATAGCTTCCTTGCATGAAAGAAGCAAAAGTCCCTGTCGGGATTCCAACCCACAGCTCTGAGGGGCAATTGTTCGAAGCAATCCCTTTTGAAACTGAGGCGGTTATTCTTTATTTAAGCATATACATGTACCACATAGAGTGTTTTCCAGTGTTTTCCATGTTTGAGGTGCTCCAAAACACATTTGAGACAGTCATACTGGCCTACAGACACCTCCTAATAACAATTCTGCTCTGTTACAGTATTAATTACTGTGATGAAAATGAGGTCGAAATTAACACTAGCCTTGCAGGAAAATATTTCTTCTGAGAAAATAAAACTTCTCAGGTTACAGTAAAGTTACTTGAATATTTTATTCCTAGTTCATATTTGATCGTAATATTATAAGAATCAGAAAAACTATAGAAAATATGTATTTTTTTAAAAAGGCAAGCAACAGTTATATCATATTTATAGTTACAAAGTAGGAAATTTATAATTGATTTGTAAGTAACAAATATATTTTGAGTAACAATAAACAACAAAAAAATCTTTGATACATGAAATTGTCTTTAAAGCTATAAGTTGAGCAAATACAAGCCAAAAATTTGTTGTTATAGCTTTAGACAGATTTTTTTTTTAAATAAACAAATGTAATGTTGTTGGTCTCTTCAAAAATTTCTTCTATGCAGTCACTTAGTGTTATTCTTTTCCAGAGGGGTCTGGTAAAAGAATCCATCACAAATGACCTCAAGTTCCTATTTTTCACATTAGGTTTGATACAAGCCAAATTTCATATGCCTTAAAATTCCTTGTTTTTCCAAATCATGCTCATTAATAAAAACTTACAACTTTGCATTTATCTGTCATATTGGGTCCCAAACGATAAATCCCTATTCCTGACCTTTTATTTGAATAACAAGAGATTTAACCACAAACATTGACATGTGCTCTTGTGGTAAAGTACTTATTGTATCCACTAGTCTGATAATTAGAATTAGAGAGGTCAGGGATCTATGCATAGGCCTTATTTCACATTTAAGCTGAATTTTACTAACATTCCCAAGAGTGGAAAAAACACTATCATAAAGAATTTGACAATACTGGTTTCAATATACTAAATAATATAATATATACATAAAATATAAGTAAACAACTTACGAGATATCATCAGCATCTCTTGCAGGACCAATATCAGATCGTGTTGTAAATCCAGTAGCTCTGAAAAACAAACAAATGGTAAGGATATTAGATCAGTTAGATATAAAATAAAATGGTTCAATGATTCTATCACCTTAGTGCAGTAACTGGATAACTCCTACATGACCTTATATAATTTAATAGGAGTTAACCTTTTTCTCAATAATTAAAATCGGCTCCTAAATTATGCTACACATTATGATCTAACATTCGCCCATAGGCAGTCACTTCTTGTGGTCTTTCAAACAACCAATCATTGGCGAGCTTTCATTATTTTGAAAGCCATGCGGTTTCTAATTTTAACCCATGGAAAACCAATACTGAGTATAGGTAATTTCAACTATTTTGAGAACAAACATGACGTTGTCCATATAGCCGACAGGTAAACTGGCAAAGCAATCTTGCCCATTAAAAACTGACTTTATTATGTTAAGTTAATTTGTTAAAAATTACTTCAAACATTCTTTAAAATAACATTATGATAATAAACATACAGAAATTAAAAAATTTGCATGGTGTAACATGATGAATGTAAAGATGCTCTCTATATTTGGTAGCAAACCAAAATGACATGGGTCAACTTGGCCAACTATTAAAAATCTTTCAAAATATTATAGATTCAGTCTTTCGTTTGTTACAATTATTGTATTTATATATATATCAGGGCTTCCATTAATGGTAGTTTGGTAGTCATTTACTCCTTGATTTTGACTTGTTATGCTTTTCCTTCTTTACCTATAGAAATACATGTATAATGTGACTTTCAATATCAGACATATTACAGTCTCTGACTCTCAAATTTCGACACTTAATGGAAGTCAAGCTGTATATAGAAAAAGAGTTGTTTGTTTAAAGCGACATTACGATCATATTTTCATAGTCAAGTTGAGCAGAATTGACTTTATATTTCAAAAGATTGACAGTTAAAATGGTGCTTGACCAAGAGTTGATATTGGAAAACGTTCAGGATAAAATTATAAACCTGCCTTACATATAAAAAGACTGCCCCACTCTTTTTATTAACTGAGTGTTAGAGGTAAATTCTAATACATATTTAAAGAATTATATTTGGATCTGTGCATTATTTATTGTTTATAGGAAGTAAATTATTAAATTAAAAGGAGTTATAGATAAAATGAAAACTTATTTTGATATTCATCTGTTCACTCACTTTATACCCCTGGATGGGCATAATGTCACTTTAACATAAACCTTCAAATTCCATTGATGGACGGCTGAGTTATGCCACTAATGGACCTTAAAAAGCCTTTAATGGACAATGACATCCAGACAGAGTGCAACTGAAATGGAATAAGGGGCCATTTTCTTTTGTCATTTTCTATTCTATACATATAGACATCCATTGTGACGCCCCTTTAATTATTGTAACAGAATAATGCCCATTTTAATATCAATTTTTTTTTTCAGAAACAGAAATCTGGCATAACATTATGCATATGTCTAGGTACTCAAAAAGGAAATTAATAAGCCAATCAACAGTTTCGGAACTAGCAGACAACAGGCTTTTTTATCAGTAATTTTCCAAGTAAATATTACTGGTTGCGTATCTCTCTGTATAAATCATATGTTAAATGGCATATGGCATATGGTAGGTTCAGAGCAACAGATAAGCTTTGAAAGTGAATTTGGTATTACTCCATCATTTCCTTTGGAATTGGGTATTGGCTCCATTTAATTCGGTATTCCAAAACTCTATACCCTATGACTTCAGGATCAATTGAGTACCCAATTATGAAGATATGAATTTTATGGTTTCAATATCAATAAAATTTAAATGGGTTTTAAAAAGAAAATTGGAGATACTTATTCAACTTAGCAATTAACTAAAACTTTTAACAACTGTTTTATTTTTTATATAAAAATGCACATGTCAGATCTATGTCTGACTCTCAAAATATAAAAAGGAAGTAGCTGTATAATGTGTCTTGTTGTCAGGAAATACATCATTTTCATATCAGTAGCTGAATCATTTTCAAAATTTACAGAAATGTGTTTCAAGAGTTGAGATGTGAATTTAGTAAATTATAAACTGCTTAAATAAAAAAATCCCATATTTTGGCAAACTGAGTCTTAGAGTAAATTCTATTTTTGTTTTAAATAAAAATTATCTAGTGCATTTTTTTGTTTAATGGTAGTAATTTTATTTAAAGCTGTAAGAATAAAACAAATATTCACTGTTTCGCTTTTTAGCCCTTGGTTATTCAGTTTACATACAACTTCAACATATGGTCTAGACTGAGTATGCCAACGAATGACCCAAAGCCTTTACATGGAACCAATGAATCCAAACAGAGTCGCAACTCGAAAAATAATGTGATTTTCTTTTTATTTTCTATTCTATACATTAGGATACCCAAATTTAGTTAAAATTCGGAATATGTCGCATAATACTCTTTTTTAAAACCTGAAACTGCAATCACAATGCATATGCTAGGGGTAGCCAAAAGAATTAATAGCAATCAACAGTTTGAACGCGCACATGTGTCGTTTATCAGTCATCCGTCAATATTATTTGCTAACCTTTTAAATTATGTAAATGCATTGCATATGTAGGTCGAGATCTTTGAATTTTGGTTAACATTTCTTTGAAAATGTAATTGGCCCATTATTCGTATTATAAATTAATAATTCAGGATCAGATTAGTACCGCAGTTAAAATTTTTTTGGTTTCCATCCGATCAGTTCTAATTTTATTAAAAAGAAAAAGATCTTTTCAACTGTTAATCAATTTTTTTAAAAAAGCTTGAGATCTTGTCATTAATTAAAAGGTGTTCTTAAAATTTTTACATGTTGTGACTTAAATCTTTATTAAGCTTGCTCTTTACCAAATACAAAAGTTTTAGCGGAATTTTGTAATGTAAATTAGAAAAAAAATCATTGCGAAAACTAAGTTTTATAACTGATTGTTTGTTTCATAAAACTTCAAATCTTGGTTAAATTGTTCAGTTCACTAAATCCGTCGAAAAATAATCAACCAGTACTCGGTTTTTTTTGGTTATTCAGTTGCCATACATTGGTCTAAACTGATCCAGGAAATTTCTGGTTATTTTCAGATTATGTTTTTTTATTTACGTGATCGCCGAATGTGCCAGTTATTTTTGTCTACGAACATAGTCCAATATATTTCAACAAGTTAGTTTTCTGACTGATTTTTTATTATTTACAAAATTAATGTAATTCTTATTTTTTTTCTTTTGTCCATTTTTTTGACGCCATATTGCTTTCAAAGCGTCTATTGATACAGCTGGGACCTACTTATTGGTGGTCTCCGTAAAATCAATGGTCTCTGCCAGTCTGTAAAGACCGTCAACCTGAGTAGATTATTATACAAATTGACAGTCTCATGCTTTATTCATGTTATTTCGCCAATCTTTAATTGGAGACCGGAGACCGTTTATAAGCTAGCATTTGATTTAGCATGCATATCAATATAATTTGTCCAAAACTATGTGCAGACAAAGATTACTTTTGCGGTGACGAAAATGACAATGCGCGTGGGTCTTTAAGACAAATGTGTATCTTATTTTTTTAAATGGGTTTTGATACACATCAGGGCATTCTTTCCTTCTATAACAGGGGCCGATAACAGGCCCTTTCACAATTCAAAATTGCACTTTTTTTCACAAAGCGGCAGGAAAAAAGTCACAATTTCAAAAGAGATTTCATCAAATTTTGGGACTTTGTCTTCAAATTTCATTGTTTACCTTCTGGTAAAACTTGATTTTTGTCTATTGCAACCATGTAAATAGAATTAATCAAGTTATATGGTATTTGTGCATGTTTACCAGATTGAAGTGCCAGCTCAATGCAGATTTTACAGAAATTATTATCAAGCTTCATCACTTCCGGTTTCAAAATTTCATTAAATGGCAAATTTTATTATGTCATTTTTTCACAATTTTATGACATATCGCGCTTTTTTTTCACAAAATGAACAGGCCCAGGCCCTTTCACAATTTTGGCAAAAAATGCCCTGCGCATTCTAAAAGAATCAATTGTGTATTTTACATTATTAATTGCGTAAGTACGCAAATACGCACCTTATCTGTTGCTCTGTAGGTTTAACAGTTAATTTAAATGTTTCTAAAGAGATGATAATTAATATTACCCAAGATAAAGCTAAGATCAAAAGCTTTAATTAGCAATAAATCGCAATTAACTAGCAGTTTAAAAATGGCAACATTTGTATTGTTTTAACGTTAAAGATATGGAATTTCCACATTGATAAGGGAAACAACTCCTGTTTAACACTCGTTATATTTTGGTTATTTTCGCAGTTTATATAGAAACTATCGATGGGTGTATTCAGCAGTTTGATAAATTGTTAATTGGAAAACAGGTTAGAGACGCGCAGTGGCTGAGTTAGTCCAATAGATTAGACGTTTCAGGCTTGTTATAGTTTTATGTTGGTCAAGCCTGACGTCTAATAGTTATTGCTCATAAACGCGTAGCATTTTGAAAAATTAAAAAAATGTCTGTTGACTTGACTTTCAAGTTTTATTCAAAAGCTTATCTTCTGTTCTTTCAATTGCATGGTCTATCATCAACAAAAACTTTCAAACAATGTACTTATCAATTAAAAATAAAATATAAATATCAGTCTATTTCGCTCATCAGCCATACTGGTTAAGTAAAGCGTTTTACAGATTGATTCTAATTTTTTGAACGGAAAAACTATATTCGAACACACTGACGGTGCATGGGCAATTATTTCGTTGAAAAAATATTCCGTTAGAAACTTCTGGACTCATTTAAACGCTTGCATTTGAATTAGCCAATCAGATTTCGCGCACTGTATGGCGGCCATTTGTATATCGGCTGTACAAAGAATTTAATTAAATGAGAGGATTTAATCATGACTTTTCGGTTGTGACAGTTCAATTATTTTGTTTAAAGGTATTTATTTTTTAGTTTTGTTCATAAATAGGTCAAAATTAATGTAAATACACGCTGTTTTAATTGTTTAAATTCATTAGATCTTAATCGATGTCTAATGTCATTTTTTTTGCTACACGATTTTGCAAAGATCTGTTAAGACCTAACGTAACATGGAAAATGAAAAATGTAAAATATCAGATTAATGAATGATAAATATGAAATAGGTTACGTAAAGGTCTTATTATTAGGACTATGGCTGAGTGGGCAAGATTAAGGATAGACGCTTTCTATCAAGTAAGGCTTTTTGATGTTCTAAAGGAGTTAAAAGGTAAACATAATTTACAAAGTTAACTAAATTATTTAATGTAGACATCTAGCTCTTGTTAATGTTGTGTTGGATGCTTTTGGCATAAATTTGGGGAAAAACTAACAAAATTTGAACATGCATGTGGCATTCCTGCAGATAATTTTCGAAAAACGATAAGAATATTTTGCAATTTATTATTTATATGTAAAGTCTGATGAGATTACCCTCTTCCAAGACCAGGCACATATCCAAGTGGAGCTGGTAATCCTATAAAACTCTTCTTTTTACGACTAACCAACGACTGCACCGACATTTTGATGAAAACGTCAACCAGACGCTTGAAGGATATCTAAATCCCGTTTTCTCTTAGCTAAATGCCGAACCATGCCGGATATATAAGGATTCGTATCACTTCTTATTCGCCCTGAATTCGAAAAAAAAAAAAAAAAAAAAAAAATAGAACTATCACTAAATGTGATTAATACCGGGGGTATTAAGACAGCTTCGGAAATGAGGATGTTAATAGTAACAGAATACCTTGTAAAAGAATTGAAATAGAGTTATGGTTGTGGGCAAATAAAGATAGTTGTGGTTCTTGTATGTTGCATTTCCTCCATTGATGAAATTTTATTGATTAACTTTGTAATAAGTCCAGAAAGACAAGGAAAAGGAACAAAGGACAATAACTCTATAAACACTGAAGATGGAGATATGGTTATTGTACACTGCACTTCCTCTCATTGTGCTTGACAATTGTATGAAGTTGTATTGAATTCCAACTACCAGTTTTCAAGTTATGCACTGGACAAAAAAGTAACAAAAGGCAATAACTATAATTAGACCAAATAGAGTTATGGTTCTTGTGCACTGCACTTCATCTCACTGCCCTTGATCATTGTATAAAGTTTCGTTGAATTACAACCATTAATGTTCAAGTTATGCACTGGACAAAAAAAAGTAACCAAGGGCAAAAACTTTTAAATAAGTCAAGAAAAGAGTTATAGTTTCTCTGCACTGCACTTCCTCTCAATATACTTGACCATTGTATGAAATAGTATTGAATTCCAACTAGTAGTTTTCAAGTTATGTTCTGGACAAGAAAAAAGCAATGGAAAAATAACAAAGGGCAATAACTCTATAATTACTCTGGACAGAGTTATAGTTCTTGTGCACTGCACTTCCTCCTATTGTGCTTGACCATTGTAAGAAGTTGTTTTGAATTCCAATCAGTATATTTTAAGTTATGCTCCGGACAAGGAAAAGTACCAAAGGGCAATCACTCTGTAATTAGTCAAGATGGAGTTATGGTTCATGTGCACTGCACTTCCTCTCAATGTGCTTAACCATTGTATGAAGTTATATTGAATTCCAACCATAAGTCTTCAAGAAATGCTCCAGATAGATGGAGTTATGGTTCTTGTGCACTGCACTTCCTCTTAATGTGCTTGACCATTGTATGAAGTTATATTGAATTCCAACTATTAGTCTTCAAGTTATGGTCCGGACAAAAGAAAGCATTGAAAAAGTAACAAAGGGCAATAACTCTGTAATTACTTTAGATAGGGTTATGGTTCTTGTGCAATGCACTCCCCTTATTGTGCTTGACAATTGTATGAAGTTATATTGAATTCCAACAAGTAATTTTCAAGTTATGCTCCGGACAAGGAAAAGTAACAAAGGGCAATAACTCTGTAATTAGTCAAGATGGAGTCATGGTTCTTGTGCACTGCACTTCCTCTCAATGTGCTTGACCATTGTATGAAGTTATATTGAATTCCAACAAGTAGTTTTCAAGTTATGCTCCGGACAAGGAAAAGTAACAAAGGGCAATCACTCTGTAATTAGTCAAGATGGAGTTATGGTTCATGTGCACTGCACTTCCTCTCAATGTGCTTAACCATTGTATGAAGTTATATTGAATTCCAACCATAACTCTTAAAGAAATGCTCCAGATAGATGGAGTTATGGTTCTTGCGCACTGCACTTCCTCTTAATGTGCTTGACCAATGTATGAAATTATATTGAATTCCTACTATTAGTCTTCAAGTTATGGTCCGGACAAAAGAAAGCATTGAAAAAGTAACAAAGGGCAATAACTCTGTCATTACTTTAGATAGGGTTATGGTTCTTGTGCACTGCACTCCCCTTATTGTGCTTGACAATTGTATGAAGTTGTTTTGAATTCCAACAAGTAATTTTCAAGTTATGCTCCGGACAAGGAAAAGTAACAAAGGGCAATTACTCTGTAGTTAGTCAAGATGGAGTTGGTTCTTGTGCACTGCACTTCCTCTCAATGTGCTTGACCATTGTATGAAGTTATATTGAATTCCAACTATTAGTCTTCAAGTTATGCTCCGGACAAGGAAAATGCAACGGACCGCTGGACCGACTGACCGACCACCGGGCGACTCCTATATACCCCCCCAAACTTCGTTTCGGGGGTATAAAAACAAACAAGAGGGCCATGATGGCCCTGAGTCGCTCACCAGAAACAACTGCTTTTCAGTGTTAGAATGTCAATATATTCTAATATTAAATTTGAGCATAGAATATGTTTAAACAATAATTTGAAAAAATGCAATGACCTGGGGTATTTAAGCTTTAGCTTAAACCAAGCTAATCAAATTAATATAAGCAAACTTGATAAAAGACTACCTAAGAATGCTACAAAGTTTGGAGATCATCTTTCAATTATTTCAGTAGGAAATGATGTTCGAAGGTTTTTTCTATTTTTAGCTTTAGTGGCCCCTAAAAGGGGCTAATCAATTAAATATAAGCAAACTTGATAAAAGAGTACCCAAGAATGCTACAGACAAAGTTTGGTGATCATCCATCAATTGGTTCTGAAGAAGAAGATGTTTAAAGGTTTTTCTATTTTTAGCTTAAGCGGCCCCTAAAAGGGGCCAATCAAATGAATATGAGCAAACTTGATAAAAGATTACCCAAAAATGCTACAGACAAAGTTTAATTAGTTCTGTAGGAGAAGATGTTTAAACGTATTTCTATTTTTAATTTTAGCGGCCCCTAAAAGGGGCTTATCAAATTAATATGAGCAAACTTAATAAAAGACAACCCAATAATGCTACAGACAAAGTTTGGTGATCATCCATCAATTAGTTCTGTAGCAATAAATGTTTAAATGTATATCTATTTTTAATTTTAGCGGCCCCTAAAAGGGGCCAATCAAAATAATATGAGCAAACTTAAACTTAAAAGACTACCCAAGAATGCTACAAACAAAATTTGGTGATCATCCATCAATTAGTTCTGTAGGAGAAGATGTTTAAAGGTTTTTCTATTTTTGTGTCGCCTAGAAAAAGGCGACATATAGGGCGGTATCGGCGTCGTTGTCGTTCCCTAAAGCTTGTCAGGAGCATAATTCAGTCATTATAAGTCGGATTGACTTCAAACTTGGTATGCATGCTTCTTATAATGACCCGAAGTGCAGTGCACAAGAACCAGTAATCTGCACTTATTTTTTGAGTTATTGCCCTTTGTTTTTTTCATACTTTATTTTTGTCCAGGCCATTTCTCCTAAAGTATAAAAGCTATGGACTTGAAACTTTATAGGATGGTAGATCTCATTAAGAAGAAGTGCAGTGCACAAGAACTGGAACTCTGCATTTCTTATTTTTTGAGTTATTGCCCTTTGTTAATTTTCATACTTTATTTTTGTCCAGGCCATTTCTCATAAAGTATAAAAGCTATGGACATAAAACTTCATAGGATGATATATCTCATTAAGAAGAAGTGCAGTGCCCAAGAACTGGTACTCTGCATTTCTTATTGAGTTATTGCCCTTTGTTAATTTTCATACTTTATTTTTGTCCAGGCCATTTCTCCTAAAGTATAAAAGCTATGGACTTGAAACTTCGTAGGATGATAGATCTCATTAAGAAGAAGTGCAGTGCACAAGAACTGGTACTCTGCATTTCTTATTTTTTTAGTTATTGCTCTTTGTTAACTTTCATACTTTATTTTTGTCCAGGCCATTTCTCCTAAAGTATAAAAGCTATGGAAATAAAACTTCATAGGATGATAGATCTCATTAAGAAGAATTGCAGTGCCTAAGAACTTGTACTTTGCATTTCTTATTTTTTGAGTTATTGCCCTTTGTTAATTTTCATACTTTATTTTTGTCCACGCCATTTCTCATAAATTATAAAAGCTTTAGACTTGAAACTTAATAGGATGATAGATGGTATTGATAAGAAGTGCAGTGCACAGAAACTGCTGATCTGCATTTCTTATTTTTTGAGTTATTGCCCTTTGTTGATTTTCAAATTTCATTTTTGTCCTGGCCATTTCTCTTAAACTATATTGTTCACAAGGCGACACATCCGACTCGCGGAGTTCTAGTTAGTCCTAGAGACCCCTAAAAGGGGCCAATCAAAATAATATTAGCAAATTTGATAAAAGACTACCTAAGAATGCTACAGACAAAGTTTGGTAATCATCCATCAATTAGTTCTCTAGAAATAGACATTTAAAGGTATTTCTATTTTTAGCTTTTGCGGCCCCTAAAAGGGGCCAATCAAATTACTATGAGCAAACTTGATAAAACACTACCCAAGAATGCTACAGACAAAGTTTGGTGATCATCTATCCATTAGTTCTGTAGAAGAAGATGTTTAAAAGTTTTTCTATTTTTAGCTCTGCTGACCCCTAAAAGGGGCCAATTGGAATGACATGAGCAAATTCAAGTGTGACTGTCACAAGGATGCTACAGACTAAATTTGAAGTAAATCTGCCCAGTAGTTTCAGAGAAGAAGACGATTGTTGACGCATGACGACGGAGCATCCCCTTTTGATACTAATAGCTCACCCTGAGCCTTCGACTCTGGTAAGCTAAAAAAAACAAAACAAAAATACAAACAGAAGTAGTCAAAAACAAAATAAAAACAAGATTGCATTTGTAAAAAATGCCATGCCACGGCATAAATACAACACTAAATGGTAATGGATGAACACAATTTTTTTTTGTTTCTATACAGATTGCCATAATGCATAGATTGTTTACCTATCTGTTATTATCAGATAAGTACCTTCAGACAATAAGATTTTAAATTTCTTACTTTATGACATAGTGACTGAAAATCAATGATCCAAGGGGGGGGGGGGGCAATTTTGACCCCAGGGCTTTAATTTGAATAACCTTGATAGAGGTTCACTACACAATGTTTAAAGCAAAATGTTTCACCTCTAGCCTTTGTCAATTCAAGAAGATGATTTTTTAAAGTTTTTACTACTAGTATATACATGTAAGGACAACCTATGACCCCGGGGCGGGCTAGTTTTGACAGTAGAGGCAAAATTTCAACAACTTGGTGGAGTACCTATAGATGATATCATATACCAAATATCAAAGCTCTAAGCCTTGTACCTTCAGACAATAAGCTTTTTTAATTTTTAACTATAAGTACCTAGTGAAAATCAATGACCCCCGGGGGTGGAGCCAATTTTGACCCCAGGGCTATAATTTGTACAATCTTGCTAAAGGTTCACTACACAATGTTTCATGCAAAATATCTAACCTCTAGCCTTTGTGAATTTAGAGAAGATGATTTTTAAAGTTTTGACAATATACATATAAGAAAAACCTATGACCCCCCAGGGTGGGGCTGACTTTGACACTAGAGGCAAACTTTGAACAGCTTTGGTAGAGTACCTATAGATAATAACACATACCAAATATCAAACCTCTAAGCCTGGTACCTTCAGACAAGAAGGTATTTTAAGTTTTTACTATATGTACATATAGTGAAAATCAATGACCCCGGGGTGGGGCCAATTTTGACCCCAGGGCTATAATTTGAACAATCTTGGTAGAGGTCTACCAGACAATGCCTTATGCAAAATATCTAAGCTATAGGCCTTTTGGGTCTTTACAAGAAGATTTTTTAAATTTATTCTTATAATTACTTTTGGTTGCCATGGCAACCAGATTTCTGCATGGAATGAAATTCTTTGAACAACTTTGGAAGCCCTTCACCCAAGGATCAATCTGGCCAAGTTTGGTTTAAATTGGACTAGTGGTTTTTCACAAGAAGATTTTTTAAGTTCACTATATAATCTATATAACACACAAACAAACAAACACACACACACACACAGGTGAATCACTATATGCCACCGCATCGCAGATGCTGCGTTGGCATAATAATGAAAGAGGGGTAATTTCTCTGAGAATTGATCAGATCTGAAAATATACATTGTTGAGTAGAACTAAAATACAAACAATTGTCATATCTTGTTGTAAAAAAAAAAACTAAGGTAATTTTTTAGCTAAAAACCGACTGTACCTATTTAAACGGATAAACATGACGACCCTATTTAAAAACACATAAAAGGGCAATAACCCATAAAGTTATAAGATGGCATAATGAGAGCTGATATCTCCTCAAAGCCAAGACAAAATAAATGTTAATTAACTATGAAATATTAATAAAAGGCAATAACTCCATAATTATGATGTGGTGATGTCACTCCTGTCAAACTGCATTCCTCCTTACTGTGATCTATCCTGAAAAGAAGTTTTGGCTGTTTAAGCTTGAGGAGTTATGGTCTAGAGAAAAATTATGCAAGAAAATAAACAATGGGCAATAAATTAAGAAGAATGAAGTGAAGAGTTATCATACTTATTGACTACACTCTTCTTCACTTAGGAAGTATGAGGTTTTATATTCATAACACCTTTACACTTATGTTCTGGATATATATTAAGAATGAAAATTAGAAATACTCAAAATGAGATTTATCAGTCTTGTTTCTGCATTGCACTCCTTCATAGTATTAATCCACCTATGAAAGTTCAAGTTATTTGCTTAAGACAACAAGAACCGGTTGATGCTCCCCGAGAAGGTTTTGGACATAGGAAAGTATAAAAAAAATGAACTCTAATAGTTTAAGAGTTATGTCCCGGACAAAAGTCAAGAAGTAAAAATAAACATAGGGCAATAACTTCAAAATAAGGCAAGGCAGGGTTATGGTTCTTTAGCACTGCACTTCTACCCAATGAGACCTATCTACCTACAAAGTTTCATGTTGATATCTCTTGTAATTTTAGAGTAATGTCCCGGACAAAATGAACAATTGGCAATAACTCCAAAATTAGGCAAGACAGAGTTATGGTTCTTTAACAATGCACTTCTACTCAATTAGATCTATCTACCTACAATGTTTCATGTTGATATCTCTTATACTTTTTAGAGTTATGTCCCTGACAAAGTTCAAAGTGTAAAAATAAACAAAGGGCAGTAATTCAAAAATTAGGCACAGCAGAGTTACAGGTCTTGTGAGTTGCAAACCTACTCAATGAGATCAATCTACCTACAAAGTTTCATGTTGATACCTCTTGTTGTTTCAAAGTTATGTCCCAAACAAGAAAAGCGGCGACTATATGCTCACCCTTTGGGGAGCATAAAAATTAGCATGAGAAATAACAAAAGGGAAATAACTTTATGATCATGACGGGTAGTTATCACTTTAGTGCACTGCATTCCTCCTCAATTTTTGTAATTGATATCAAAACACTTGAATGAACATTATATTTGAAGTTTGAAGTAAATCCTCGAGGAAAATAGAGTGGACACAGACACTGGGATAAGTAGGACAGCTCCTCATTTTCTTCATACAGTCCAGCCAAAAATGTAAAACTCAAAATTTAGACATTTTTATGCACACAACTTCTATGTGGTTTAAAAACATAACATTCAACGTAGAGATTCTGAATTTTTATTTACATACTAGTTTATTACAGCCGAACAAATCCCAAGTTTGTCATCTTATTTACATCTCTATAACAGTATACATGTATGCATATTTTTTCTAAATTAACAACAACAGCAGCAACAACAATTTAAAACTGTAACTTGTACTTGTATATCATAACAATGGAAATTTCATTAATTCTGATGAAACAAATGCAAATCGGCTTGTGAAATTTTTATGGTCCCTTAATTAATACAATAAATCAGAAACAAAAATAAATTAAAAGCCAATTAACTTAAATTTCCTTAAAACTTCTGATAAACACAAAAATAAGGATACAAAGAACTGATTATATATTTCTGTCTAAGCTATGCTAAGAAACTTAACATGTAAACAATGCTGTGAGTGTTTGACTAAGTTTATTCATATATATCAAGTTAAATGAATTCATAGATATTGAAGCAAACAATATACAGATTTATTTTTATAGTTGTAAAACCCAAAGTTCAAAATTTATACTTTAATATTAATGTTTAGCTGTTTATGATTTACTATAATATAAAATAAAGGAATCCACCAAGATCCAATAGCCTAAGAACATTAAATTTGTATATCTTACATAGATCAGCTGTGACACATAAAACAGAGGGATATTGAAAATATATTTAAGAAATATACCAGTACTTAGAAATGAACAGATTTTTTTGTGTATGTGCTATTCTTAGTAAGATTTCAGTGAAAAGTGTTAAAATGTTTACAAATTTGGGTCATTTTTCACAATTAGAAAAATCGGGGGGGGGGGGGGGGGGGGGGGGGGGGATGGAGAAAGAACACTATATATAATATGTTTAAATAATGGTTTTAGAGCATTTTTTATGCTTATCTTTTATATGTCATAATTATAGCAAACTGTGAACACAGTATTTTGACTTCCATTCAAAATACTAAATCACTGCATTTTTGAAACAGACAAGCTAAAAATAAAACAAGAACCCGTTTATTAAACCCAAATGCCCCCGTCACAGATTCTTATCAGTAACAATTTTTCCAAAAAGATTCATCCATTCACTCAGTTATGGACAGGAAACATGCCAAAATAACTGTAAACACAGCTGCATAACTTAACAGAGCAATGACATTTTGTTATTGGAAGAATATAAGTTGGCAAGTGACTGCTATGACTTGTGATGAAGTTGAAAAATATTCAACTTTATCAAATATATATAAATGGAAGACTTTACCTTGAACCTTGACCAAACAGACCACTAACTCAATCTAAAGGATGCAAGTTATCATCCTTTCAAATATGAAACAACATCAGTCAAAAAAAGTGAAGGCTGTTTTAGCAAATACGTGTAGAAATCTATTATTCTACCCTTGATTTTCTGACCTTCTAACTTTGTTAAAATTAACATTAAAAGTCAAGATACTTTAACAACTTCTCTTTAAATAATTTGATGTTGTCTTCATATAATTACTTCTAAAAATCAACATTCACAATAAATGTACTTGTCACAACTGTAAGTTCTGGTTGCCTTGACAACATAAATGATCAAGACATCACCTTACTTCCCAGAATGCACTTATCAATTTCATGGTAGTTCAGAACTACAAGATCAAGAGTATTTCTGTACAATCTGTGAAAGGGCAGTAAAAATATCATTGTTCAATAAAATCTGTCTCATTACTTTAAGTCTCTGTTCCAATGTTTTTCTTGACATGCTGTAAGTTTCTTCATCAGTTCCTGCTGTAAATAAAACAATTAAAAATAAAATTCATTAGTTGCTTCTAAAATTAGTAACAAAAGATAACAAGAGCTGTCGGTAGGACAAAAAAAAAGCAACACTCAACTATTCTTAGTGCTTGATAGTAAAAAAAAATGCTTGATACAGTTACCTCCTCCTGTTTACAGGTTGGGGTAATGATGGTGAACAAGTGTGCAAAGTTTCAAAGCCATATGTCAATGGACTTTGAAAATATTTGAGGTATTACAAAAACTTTAATGTGAATTCTAAGTCGAAAAAGGGGCATAATTCTGTCAAAATGTTTGATACAGTTACCTCCTCCTGTTTACAGGTTGGTGTAATGATGGTAAACAAGTGTGCAAAGTTTCAAAGCCATATGTCAATGGACTTTGAAAATACTTGAGGTATTACAAAAACTTAAACGTTAATTCTAAGTCGAGAAAGGGGCATAATTCTGTCAAAATGCTTGATACAGTTACCTCCTCCTGTCTACGGGTTGCGGTGATGATGGTTAACAAGTGTGCAAAGTTTCAAAGCCATATGTCAATGGACTTTGAAAATATTTGAGGTATTACAAAAAATTTAACATAAATTCTAAGTCGAAAAAGAGGCATAATTCTGTCAAAATGCTTGATACAGTTATCTCCTCCTGTCTACAGGTTGGGGTGGAGATGGTGAACAAGTGTGCAAAGTTTCAAAGCCATATGTCAATGGACTTTGAAAATATCTGAGGTATTACAAAAACTTTAACATAAGTGGATACGCCGACGCTCGGGTGACTACAATAGCTCTACTTCTTATCGAATAGTCGAGCTAAAAATTAGGTGGAAATAAGACATAATCTTTGCCTGTCTGTATCAATTTTTCAATATAGGTGTTCTTGTCGTGGAGGGTATTTGTTCATCGCCTATTTCACCTTAATATTTTAATGGGTAGGTGTCTTTTCTCTCTCAGTGTAGGAACTCTTTAGGTTGAGGTTGTGTTGTTTTTGCTGATTTCCTAGCTGGTATCGAGTTGTATTCCTGTTTTTATCAAGTTTTTTTTCTAAAACACTTAGACATAATACTTTCAAAATGAAACAGTTGTGCTATGTTTTCATACTTGGAACAAATCAAACCAGCCCACATGTAAATATCTAATCTTAAAAATTCCCAAAGATTTCTGTTTAACTCATCCAATACTATTCTACACAAAATACATGTAATAATGTTTAAAAGCATACTTGTATTTTCTTACAATATTCTTGCACAATCTAAGTATCATATATTATAACTTGAAGGCTGTTTTTCCCCCTTTTTTGTTTGGTAGAGTTTTAAGTATTGTTTGCACAGTGTACCAATGTCAGAAATCCAGTACATGTACAAGGTCTTAATCTTTCAATTGAGTTCTCTGCATCTTAGAAGATTTCTTAGAAGTTTTAAGATGTATAACCATTTTCATCCTATCTTTTCATTTCTGTTAAACCAGACATGAAAAGAAACATCATTTAATGATAAGAATGCACTTTCAGCGATTTACTTTTATTTTTTACTTCGATAGTAGGGCTAATCTTGAAAATTAAAACAAAATTGTTGATTCAATAGTCTAATTAATTAATTAAATTTTGACATTCTTCAAAGTTATAAGCCCTACAAATTTCAGCAACATTGGTTATTAAATGTTGCAAGCGGCCGAAAAATGAAGCATCAGAATGTTGTATTGCTGACACATACACCTGCCAAACTGTTAATTGCCTTGTTAAAACAGTTACCATTGCGCATTGCTAATAAAATTTTCACACCTCTGCATGTTTTGCTAAAATTGTTTATACACATATCTCAAAATTTTAAATTTTTTATTTCATTATTATAATTATATCTATGATGACAAAAGTAAAGTGATACTTCATCAACAGTATACTAAAATGTCAATTTAGTTAACCTATACTCAGATGTGCGATCAAGTGCTATTTGATTAATAGATTAATGATTAATTAAATGGTTCTTTATCGCCATCTCTAACTATAAGTAAAACTGACACATTGTAAACTAAAGGTCAGATGTGATCTGTTCAGTTTTACTGATGGAAAAGGACTTTCAGGTAAGAGCAAGCACCTGTCTAAAAGCACAGGCCTGTTACCAGAGTGAGTTTCTAGATAGCTTTCTTAAATCTGAGTGGAGTTGTCAGTATAGTTGACATTTTAGATCAAAATAAAAACTTACCAGGACTCATTTCTAAAGTGTCAGGTAAACATTTTTCTAAACTATACTGCATTGTGACTTCCATTGGTGGAAAATTCTCTGAAGTCCATAGTTTAAATTTTAAATATGACACAGCAATATCAGCTTCAACTTCATCATGGAAATTGTTCTCATATGTTTTCTGTAAATAAAAGAAAAGAAGATATTGACATGGTCACATTTTTCACTCAACAAAGAGAAGTTTTTCACTTAAACTTTTTTTTTTTAACTGTACTGATAATTTAAACTGTAAAGCAATAATGAATTAAATATCTAATATCAATATCAGTCAGTCTGAAAACGAGTGTAGGACGGACAAAAGCCCTCCCGTCAAAAAGTGACAAGACGGATAAAAGCCCTCCCATGAAAATGACAGGGCGGACAAAAGCCCTCCCGTGAAAATAATAGGGCGGACAAAAGCTCTCCCGCAGCAAATACAATTTTCAATGCACTCAACATATTAAAATTGTTATCATGAATATTTTTGTTTTCCATTGGCATAACCGTGTTTGTATGAGCTTGAGCACATTCCTGAGAGGCATCTGAATAATTAGTGCTAAAATCTGTAAGTGCATATTTATTCACGTAGATATGAAGAATTACTCCTATGTGAAGATAAGATTAATAGAGTAATAAATGATGAAAAGAATTTTAAAATTATCTAACTTAAAAGTTAAAAACATTTATAATAAGCCTTGTAATGAGTCGATTACTTTTATAAGTGACTTTGTTTTTAACGACATTCATGTAAAAAATTACCACGTTAAACTTTTCAGGAAGGTATATTCAGAATAAAAGGTGGTTCTAGCTCATACACATACTTAGGCATTGAAAACAACAAGAAATATATGTAACAATTTTAATATGTTGAGTGCATTGAAAAAAACACAGGTATTCAACATACATATTTATTTTTGTTACGGGAGGGCTTTTGTCCGCCTTGTTAATTTCACGGGAGGGCTTTTGTCCGCCCAGTCATTTTCATGGGAGGGCTTTTGTCCACCCTGTTATTTTCACGGGAGGGCTTTTGTCCACCCTGTCATTTTCACGGGAGGGCTTTTGTCTGCCTTGTCATTTTTTGACGGGAGGGCTTTTGTCCGTTTCCCATCTGAAAACGTATGCTGATGTAGACCAAACCCTATACAACACAAAGTAAGCTTGAGTGTGTATGTAGTCTATGTTAAATTAGGGAACAAAAAACAACTTTTGCTGTCTAGTACTGATGATAATTTACCTCAATGCATAAGACAAAGAAATGAATTTTAAGCCAAAAGAAGGTCACTATACAGCTGCCAATGGAAATAAGAGCTTGCTCTTTTTGTGTTATCCTTGGTTTTGGGAACAAGTCATAATTTACATAATATAGTATTTATTCATTCATTTATTTATTTATTTGTAATTGTTTGTATCTATATTGTGTTTGTGTATCATGTAACATGTTTACCTTTTGCCGAAATAAATCAACCTTTCTAATGAGAACCTAAATAAACAGAAAACCAAGCAATATAAGGAAAGGAGGTAGCCCTGAAAACGGCTAAGAAAAGGGCCTGTGTTTCAAGCAGTCATACTGTGCTAGGGGCTCACGCTTTGAGAAGAAGTGAGATGAAGTTATTCTTTGAGAAGAAGTGAGATGAAGTTACTCTTGAAAGCTTTTAATTCCTATAAATAACAATGGACTATTCCAAATTTAAAACGGGCAAGACAATGTTATCAATTTAAGATAGATAAAGGGCCAAGAATCCTGATTACCTACCTTTGCCTCTTTAAGACCTTCTCTCCTCTGAATGTACGCATACAGTAGCTTTCTAACCTCCTCAACAAACTCTTTAATTCCATTTCCTAAAAATATTTTAAACCTTCTATTTGTTATTTCTTTTTTATTTGTTTCTATTTTCCCGTCACATCAACACAGTTTTGTTTGTTTGTTTGTTTCATTTTACGCCTTTTTCAACAGTATTTCAGTCATATAGGCGGGTAGTTTCCTAACCATCGTTCCTGGAGAGTTACACCAGTACTAGACTACCTTCCTCCGCGCTAAACTACCAAAGCATCTCCCGGGGATCGAACCCACGCCAGAGAGGTAACTTGATTAGAAGTCATCGACTCTAACCCCTCGACCACGGAGGCGGTCACCACATCAACACAGTAAAGGTACTGGTAAATTTCCAACATTTCTGCTGAAAGAAGGCATCATGTATCCCTGCTTTCATTATTTCAGGTCCAAACTGACGCCGGAGTAAAAACCACAGACCTTCATTATAAAGAAGGTTGATAGCTTCCTCACATGAAAAAAACACAAAGTCCCTTACCCACAGCGGTAAAAGGCAGTTAATTAAAGTAAGTAGTCATAACCATTTATAATACAAAGGTCAAAGCCGCTATGAGTCAAGGTCCTAAATCAAGTCGAATTAGAACAATTCAATCTGTTCTGCTTTTAGAGTAGCAAAATTATATTATAAATACTTGTTCAAATATAAAAGCAATAAGCAATTATGTTCTTTAATTCTTCTACAAAGAAATATCTTCATGTGTTCCAAAAGAAACTATCCAATTTTGCCACATTATTCAACAGAATTTGCAACATAGAACAATTGACGGCCAGACCAATAACAAAATTAAATATTTAAGGAAAAAGTTCTAAGAATGTTATAAAATACAAAACTTTGCTATTATCCCTTATTAAACGTGTTGACCTTATCAAGCAGATTCATCCTACTGTGAATTTGGAACAGTCCATCTATAGTAAGGCATGATAGTATCAAAATTGAGCTACCAACAGTATTGACATACATGCCATAACGTTCCAGACTGTCCCGGAACAGTCCATTCATAGTTCAAGTGATTACAGTATTAAAATTGAGCTATGTACAGTATAGAGCCTGGTCTAACAGCATGGAAGCATAGTCTGGCCGTGCTCTATACATGTAACAAAGGCTTATCAATTTCAGCTATCACAACTAAGGCATAACAAGCTGCACCAGACCTATGTTATTTCAACATTTATGTGAAGTATATGTGTATAGTATGTCAAGAAAAAAGCTTGTTTTTTGGCCAATGGATTTCACCTTTTATTTAACATGGGAGGCATACATCTTGAATGTTTAATTTTAGCTGCTTTGGCTAAAAATATGGAAAATTTATGACGTTTTGTATAAATAAATATATAAATGTACCAATTGGTATGAATTCAGTAAACAATTAAACATAAAAGAATCTATGAATAAATTACCTATATATTTTTCCAACAGTTGACTGGCTGGAATAAAGGGAGGTAAATTGTGTTTTCCAAGTTTATAGTTCTCCCCCTTTCTCAACAGTTGCACACTATAATGTTCTGTGGTTGGATACTGGTTCTTGTAAAGAGGGTCAAACCTGAGAACCAAATCTGGACCCATCGACTTGATACATACACCTGCAATAAATTTCCCTTTTAAAATACATACATATATACAATCATAAATAACAAGGCAAACACAGTTATCCCCCCTGAATACTTTCTACATTTTTTATTTCACAACAGCATAACTAAGAATATTCTTTTCTTTTAAAAATAATGAATCAGAAAAAAACTAAAAATGTGCAGAGGACAAGGAAACCCCTACATTCCACTGTTATGTCAGTCTACTGACATACAGCTGGACAGACAAAGGAAATCCTACATGACTCCCCCTACCCTTAAGTGGTCCAGGCATAAAATTGATTCCCAATTTTTCCAATGTTGACATCTTGATTTGTTCTCAATATTGAGCTGCAACAATTTCAGCTCTCAATTCTATATCATACTTTTTAATTAAACACACAGGGATTGAAAATTGCAAACTTTTTATAAGTCAAGCGAAATAACTACAAATAATAAATAAGTGCACAAGCAAACCCCCAGGTGCACAACTAAAAATGCCAACTAACATTTCTGTTAAGTTCAATGACTGAGTCAAATACTTTTTTGAGCTACATGCAACACAAGTTTTACTATGTCTAGGAAAATTACTCTTACAAAAGTATCAGAATTAATCCATGCAAAAACCCCATGCAGGTGCACAACTACACATGCTGATCAACATTTCTGTAAAGTTTGTTGACTTTACCTCAAGCATATATAAAAACTACAGTCACAGTTTGATTCTTTTTTTTATATTACATATCTTAAAACAGAAACAAAGAAAACTAGTATTTTTATTTGACACTAAAAATGTGTATTCTTATGTGATTGTGGGCTTTTGCTAGAATTTTCTAACATGAAATTGGTCATTTGGAAATGTTTTTATTTTCAATTTTGGGGATATCAAGATGAAAACCATAAGTTTGGTGACAAAGGCTTACCATAATCACTTTCAGGTTCCAGCAAGTTAAAACAATCTGATATACTTACAAATATATTCCTTTTTGCAAAATGATAATGCACACTTACAATTTCTGATAAGAAACAGGTTCAATGTTCAATTTTCCATAAAAATTGAAACAGTTTTGTGCTGTGTTTCTAACTGCTGATGGGATTTTTTTTTTAAACTGGGAACAAAGAGACTATTTTGGATTGGGAATGGGGCATTATTAGGCACCTGATGATAGAGTGAAAATTCACTGGCTCTACTGAGGTAATAACAACATTTCATCATATAACACTACATGTAGTACTGGTTTATTTCAGAAAGTAGACTCTAGAATCACGGTACAAATAAGCTTTAAGCTTTTACCACATTTTAGTTTAATCCTTAACCTGCAGAATTTCTTAAGTGGACTTTTCGAATTTTCATTAATCAAATTTTAGGGGATATGAAGGTGAGAATTTGAAGTTGGTCAGCCAACAGTATAAAGGCTGGTCAGTGGTCAGACTGGATGGATGTGAAGGCTGGCTTGGCTCTATACTGTTGGCAAAGACTGACCAGCCTGGCTCTATACTGGTGGCAAAGACTGACCACCCTGGCTTTATACTGGTGGCAAAGACTGACCAGTCTGGCTCTTTACTGGTGGCAAAGACTAACCAGCCTGGCTCTATACTGGTGGCAAAAACTGACCAGCCTGGCTCTATACTGGTGGCAAAGACTAACCAGCCCGGCTCTATACTGGTGGCAAAGACTAACCAGCCTGGCTCTATACTGGTGGCAAAGACTAACCAGCCTGGCTCTATACTGGTGGCAAAGACTAACCAGCCTGGCTCTATATGGTGGCAAAGACTAACCAGCCCGGCTCTATACGGGTGGCAAAAACTAACCAGCCGGCTCTATACTGGTGGCAAAACTAACCAGCCCGGCTTCTATACTGTTGGCAAAGACTAACCAGCCCGGCTCTATACTGGTGGCAAAGACTAACCAGCCTGGCTCTATACTGGTGGCAAAGACTGACCAGTCTGGCTCTATACTGGTGGCAAAGACTAACCAGCCTGGCTTCTATACTGGTGGCAAAAAACTTAACCAGCCTGGCTCTATACTGGTGGCAAAGACTACAGCCTGGCTCTATACTGGTGGCAAAAAACTGCCCAGCCTGGCTCTATACTGGTGGCAAAGACTAATCAGCCTGGCTCTATACTGGTGGCAAAGACTAACCAGTCTGGCTCTTTACTGGTGGTAAAAACTAACCAGCCCGGCTCTATACTGGTGGCAAAGACTGACCACCCTGGCTCTATACTGGTGGCAAAAACTAACCAAGCCCGGCTCTATACTGGTGGCAAAGACTGACCAGCCTGGCTCTATACTGGTGGCAAAGACTAACCAGCCTGGCTCTATACTGGTGGCAAAGACTAACCAGCCCTGGCTCTATACTGGTGGCAAGACTAACCAGCCCAGCTCAATACTGGTGGCAAAAACTAAAACCAGCCTGGCTCTATACTGGTGGCAAAGACTCGACCAGCTGGCTCTATACTGGTGGCAAAGACTGACCAGTCTGGCTCTATACTGGTGGCAAAGACTAACCAGCCTGGCTCTATACTGGTGGCAAAGACTAACCAGCCCAGCTCAATACTGGTGGCAAAAACTAACCAGCCTGGCTCTATACTGGTGGCAAAGACTCGACCAGCCTGGCTCTATACTGGTGGCAAAGACTAACCAGCCTGGCTCTATACTGGTGGCAAAGACTAACCAGCCTGGCTCTATACTGGTGGCAAAGACTAACCAGCCCAGCTCAATACTGGTGGCAAAAACTAACCAGCCTGGCTCTATACTGGTGGCAAAGACTCGACCATGCCTGGCTCTATACTGGTGGCAAAGACTGACCAGTCTGGCTCTATACTGGTGGCAAAGACTGACCAGTCTGGTTCTATACTGGTGGCAAAGACTAACCAGCCTGGCTCTATTACTGGTGGCAAAGACTAACCAGCCTGGCTCTATACTGGTGGTAAAGAACTGACCAGCCTGATTCTATACTGGTGGCAAAGACTTACCAGTTCTGGCTCTATACTGGTGGCAAAGACTGACCAGTCTGGCTCTATACTGGTGCAAAGACTAACCAGCCAGCTCAATACTGGTGGCAATGACTGACCAGCCCCGGCCTGTAATGGTGGCAAAGGACTGACCAGTCTGGCAATGACTGACCAGCCTGGCTCTATATGGTGGCAATGACTGACCAGCCTGGCTCTGTAATGGTGGCAAAAGACTGACCAGTCTGGCATACTGAAAGACTAACCAGCCCGGCTCTGTAATGGTGGCAAAGACTGACCAGTCTGGCTCTATACTGGTGGCAAAGACTAACTAACCAGCCCGGCTCTGTAATGGTGGCAAAGACTGACCAGTCTGGCTCTATACTGGTGGCAATGACTGACCAGCCCGGCTCTATACTGGTGCAAAGACTGACCAGTCTGGCTCTATACTGGTGGTAAAGACTGACCAGCCTGGCTCTATACTGGTGGCAAAGACTAACCAGTCTGGCTCTATACTGGTGGCACTTTCACCTTAAGCAGTGTAAAGTTTAATAAACCATGTTTTAAATAGCAAACCTAGGTTTTATCTTACCATGTAAACGGTACATGTCTAGAATAACTTTACAATCAGAAACATTTCTCTGCTCTTCTGATATCACCTCATTACGTTGCCCCACTTCAAACTGAAATAAAGAAAATACATATTGAGGATTGAGTGCAACACTGTTGTAAGTTCTTTATTTCAATATCAAAGTTACTGCTGTTTTGCAGTCAACCCTCGATAAATGCATTTGTGACAGATAATAAAGAAAGCTTCCATGATTTGTGCATTGTTCTTGAATACAAGTTACATTTAAGAACCATTAAAATGTGAGATGTCACATACTGGATTCTTTATTTGAACTGTGTTCTGTCTATAGTTATGACACACTAACGCCCTTTCATTTTCTTTATCATTTATCTCCCCATTTTTGCTCACATTGTATCATTTATTGCATAATTTAGTAACAATATTCAAGCTCTGTTGGGAAACACGGTCATTTACAAATTTTATTAATTCCATGTATGATGACTTAGAACTGATTTGTGCCCATAAGACAACATAGTACAGTACTATAAAAAGCAAACATCTCAAACATTTCAAATGCCCTTTTTTTATTTGGCTTGGTTTTACGTCACACCAACACAAAAATGGTGATATAGCAACCTTTCAGCTTTAGTGGTGGATGAGGCCTTTAATACCCCTCTGTGCATTATTTCAGCCACAAATTGGCACCTAAGTAGAACTACCGTATTTTGGTAAGCTAGCTGGATAATTATAACTTCCTCAAATGAAAGAATCCAATGTCCTTATTGGGACTGAAAACTGACAGCTACGAGGGGCAAGTGGTTTTGAAGCCAATGACCTTAATCACTTGGCCACAGACGCCCCCTTTTTATGAGTCAGACAACCTTAACCACAAGTTCACCACTTCTTACCTTTTGGTTACGTAATTTTTCTAGTCTGTTAATAAGATCTTGGTTTTCTCCTGTTTAAGTCTGTCGATAAATTCTATTGCGTGACCTTTGTCTTCTTGTTCATCTAAATAGTCCATGTTCAATCTAAAGAAATGAGAAAAGAAATTAATGGGTATTACTGTGATAACAACATTAGTGTGGTTACTTTTTTGCATGTTTTCAATATTAACAGACAGGCTATCTATATCATCAGTTAAAATTGGTTCTATTTTCAGCCTGTAGATTTTTAAATATCCCTTTGACCAAGGCCAAATCATTTGTTTTTGCTGGCACATCTGTTGCCTCAGATGCAAGTAAAAACCCTTTGTTTACAAAACAAATATTTCATGTTTTTATGTTATGCAGTTGTAAATAGTCAAGGCCTTTTTATCTTCATTTCAACAGAATTATTAAATTCTATTTACTTTTTTTTGTAGATCTATTTTTTTTAGATAGATTCCTATATTCCATGAAAGTTCTTTGAATATATATTTTGGAGATGTAGGACTTTTGTTTTTTTTGCTTTTAAAAAAAGTAAACATGGCTTATTTTTCAACTGTCTTTTCAATATAGCTTTCTATTTAAGCCTTTACCAAGAAAAAAGTTTTGAAAAATTCATTTTTTAATGTGTAAAATATGAGTTTACCTTTATAATGATATAAAATATTAAATTGTTTAAAAATGATGAAAAATAACTTTGTATTTATTAACCTTTTACCCCATGAGCATATTGCGAAAAATGGCCATTTTCATTGAAAAGCCTCCTGTAACAAGTTCAAACTGCTATGAAAGTATGAAAAATGCTTCAATGCTGATGAAACTTGGCACAAATGTTGACTAGACCAAAGCCTCTGTAACAGCATGCTAATTCTAAATTTCCTGTTACCATGGCAACGGGGGGTGTCTCAAAATTGCCAAAAATCACTATTTTGCATTGTTTTTTTCCATCAAAACTGATTTCAAAGTGCTGCAACTTCTCAATGAATTGAGATAGAGTACAAGGCTTTTCAGCGTCCGTTACTAGTTACCCTAAGATCGACCTGAGGCCATTTTTAGCCTGTCACATGTCCAAAATTTTCTTGGCGATGGGGGGGACTCCGTCCCCCTTCAAACCCCCCAAATAGAAGGGGGCACATCCTCCTTCTGGCAACCCCCTGATGTAATATTTGGACGGGGGACGTCGGGCGCTGAAAAAGTGGTCACTTTTTTTAACAACATTTCTCAAACGAAAAACAGTGTTTGGGGTTTAAATAGGGCATTTTTTCACTGTTTGAGGGGGGGGGGGGGGGGGGGGGGGGGGGGAAAAAAAGCTGTCAAAACACACTTATATAAGGGAAAAGGTTAATATAAAATTACTATGTTTTGCATTTTATCAGCTGCCATAATTTTTTGCCAACAATTCACCAGTTATAGTCTGATTTTATTGACTTTTCAATTATGAATTCATACATTACAGCACTCATTTAAATATTCGATCCCACTTCAGTTCTGTCTTGATCCCACTTCAGTTCTATCTAGAATTGATATTTAGTATATAACTAATGTTTAGAAAAAAGCAGTGTCTATTCTAGGAGGGGGATTCACTCCGGTTTTGAGAATTCCCCCCTTTTTTTCAGAGGCAGGGGGAAAAATTTTACATAGGGAAAGAAGGAAAAAAATTCAACAAATTTAATAAATCCTCACTTTTTGATAAAAATCCCCGTTTTTTAAAATTTCTAGAATAAACACTGAAAAAAGTCACACTAGCCTTAATCACATCCACAATATCAGTCAGTCAAAAGATACTTAATATATCAGAGGTCTCAGTTTGATCCCTAACTTTTAAAGGTTTTCTATTTTTAGCTTTAGCAGCCCCTTAAAGGGGCCAATCAAATTAATATGAGCAAACTTAATAAAAACCCTCTAAAAATGCTAAAATTTGGTGATCATCATTCATCAATAATTAAGCAAGAAGAGTATAGAATGCAACAACAAGTAATGAGACTTTTGAGCCCTCATTACCTTCATTATCTTAAATATAATTAAAAGCCATTAAGGTGAGAAGCGTTTCCTTTATGCCTATCATATGCCCAGGTTAGTCAAAATATATTGATGTGCCAAATGTGATTCCGAGATATTTACGTTCTAGGTCAGAATCTCCCTTCTACGCGAGATATTGCCCAGGCCATCCTTAAAAAAATGTTTGTTTGCAGTAACCCGACCCAGAATTTTCAAGGTGGGTAGGTAGGTCGATTTTTTTTTTATTGAACTGTACTTCCAAATAAACATGGAACTTCAAAATTCTGGACAATATATGCTTTGATAATCTGGTAACAATTAATAATTTGATAACTGAATTCTAATTTAATAAGACCTACATTTTATTTCTTCCATTAACCTTTAAAAGAACGAAAACAAAGCACAGGCATAATTTTCTGATTCAAAAAAAAATTTTTTTTTATCCAGACTATTAAAAAAAAATTTTGAGTAGGGCCAAATTTTGTGAGTCGGTCGCGTTACTGCAAACAAACATTTTTTAAGGATGGCCTCAGACACGAAATTAGCACAATATTTTGTTGTGCAATACAATTAATTGGACTAATAGTAATATGCACACAACTTTAGTTACTGTTGCACATCAAAAGCGACATATAAACTTTAAAGTTATGGAATCCAGAACTAATCTAGTTCTTTTGGGTAGCAGTACATGCCCTACAGCTATCCACTTCCTTACCTAATAAAAAGCCCTGGCGCACAATATTTGTTGGGCTAATCTACATTCTATCTACATCTAGTCAATTATACTGCTTCAAAAATCGTAAAATTTACAGACTACAAATAACAAATGAATGAGGCATTACCAACAATGCTCTTGTGTTACTGTTTCTATAAGAAAAAGGAATTTTTTTTTTCAAAAATCTTCTGACTCTGTAAAGCTTATCTTAATATGTATTTCCAAATATTACTGTAACATGTAACATTTTGTAATACAGCCTATAAATGCATGGAATGACAGACTATTCTCTCCCTTATTGGTTCCTCTCCAGACGTTCTGAGCCCCTAACTGTTTCCTCCCCTGACGGTTCTCTCCCAAATTGAAATATGCAGACAGTTCTCCCCAAAATTATTTTTATAAGTACAGTTATCATAATAGTTTTGGCTTTATCTAATAACATTTCTTAATGAAGATAATTGAAAGAATGTGTTTGCTCTGTTTTGTTGTTCGTTTCATTTTACGCCTTTTACCAACAGTATTTCAGTCCATATAGGCGGGTAGTTTCCTAACCATTGATCCTGGAGAGTTACACCATGAGTACTAGACTACCTTCCTCTGCGCTAAACTACCAAAGCATCTCCTGGGATCAAACCAAACCCCAGAGAAATTACTGGATTAGAAGTCATCGACTCTAACCCCTTGACCACGGAGGCGGTTATGTGTTTGCTATTAAGTGTTGCTATTAAGTGCATTTTATAATTAATGTTTATTCTGAAAAGAGTTTGTAAATTCAATACCTTTTTCTGATATTTTAATCCTATACACCTTTCATTGTGTGAGAGGTTTAAGATTTTTGGACAGTAATTGACATACAACCTGAAATTATGTTAAGTCTCAGTGATATTCTTTTATTTGTTAAATAGGTTAACAAAGAATTAAAGTATGTTTTAGAAAATAATTACACAACAAATGGTATGCAATCACAATTTGGTTAATAATATAATACTTTTATACAAAATTGATTGATGAACATGTATTAATTAACATGAAACATTATACACATGTAATAGTCATAATAACTAATAAAAAATACTTATATTCATAAACCACCTTTTCACAGCTATCATTTTTGTATTTTAATCAAATCAATTTCAAACACGTCTTGATTCTTGAGTAATGAATGAATAAACACCTCAATTATCTCTGACAGCAAACTAAACACACTTGTGTATTGAAGACCTTTCTTCAATATACAAATTTAAAAAATCTACTGAAAATATAGCTTAAGGTCTTCAGCGTACCCGTTCATATAATATGACATGACATGAACTTTAATGACGCAAAACAAAAATGTTAAATAGCGGTTTCTTAAGTTTTGGAAGCCAGGACTACTGAAAATACTTCAATAAAATAAAAGAATTCTCTAATTTATATCAATTTATGATAAACTTATTCATTTCTTAAACATGCTGTTTTAATTAACTATTTTTTTTCTAATTTATGTCAATGAATAATAATTAAACTTACACATTTATTAAACATCTAAATTCTTCACTAATTTTTTTTCCTCAAATTTACAATTGTATACTGGCATGCGAGCAGTTCCCGTACAGAAGCAGTACCCGTATTTTTCATTTAAACGCTTGATTTTTACCTGTATTCTTCAAAAATTCATTTTAAATCAAGCAGATACATAAATGAGACAAAATCTAAGTGTCAGTTTGGCAGTACGTATAAAAAGACTCATTTTAAATCACTTTCACCTGTGCGTCGTCAAAACGTGACCTTGTTTTATCTGGGGGATTCCGTTATTGGGCCGCATGCGCAAAAAATACTTACACGGTGAGGCTTGTTTTAAAGGGGTTTTCCACTAATACCACCTGTTTACAAATAAGAGGGCAATGTGATGGAAAACTTTTTTAATTTTTCAGATTTTGACAAATATACTATATAAAATAATTTTATGCCTTTGAGTGCGTAAAATAATCAGCATACAAGCAATGCTTTTGCATCAAATGCGTTGGAACGGTAACCCCGTACCGGGTAATAGTACCCGCTTTAGTGTCTACGCACTATTTTTTTTTTTCCGGGAATTACATCTATTATATTCTTTAGATAATTGGTCTGTTCAACAATTGAAATGAAAAATAGGTCCAATATAAAAAATTGTATAATATAATGGGAGATTTATGTACGGGAACTATCTCTCATAAAAATAATGGATAATTTCGGGTACCCATATCGAGGCCTCATAAGTAAGGGGTTATTCCTATGTTATAACTGATGGAATTCCATGATTTGTGTGACGAGCCGAATATTCGATGTGTTAACATTCAAAATTGTTGGTGAGTTAGCGTAGTAAAAAATAATGATTAAGTAACTATGATTTTTGTACGGGAACTGCTCGCATGCCAGTACAGTATATCAAAATTAATAATAAATTTACACATTTATTTATTTCTAATTTATAGCAATTATTAAAAAAAAACTTACTAAAAAACTTATAAAAATAAATAGACACTGTCTGCCCTTTTGCAAATATGCAGACGGTTCTCCCCCAAAATAGGGAGAGAACCGTCAGGGAGGAAACGTCAGGGCAGAAACTAGTAAGGGAGAGAATAGTCTGACTACCAAATGCATCGCGTAATCTAATGACAATTCGCGTAAACTTACTTTTTATGAAACTAAAAAGATTCAGTGAACAATGACTATGGTAAAAGTTGATAATAGAGCCAATTTCAGATACATTAACAGACTGTTTTAAAATTGATTCTTTTCTAAAACGTTAATAAAATATTAGTTCATTTTTTCCCGCGATAACTCAATTCGGAACATCACTTGTCTTCTGGTTTGACGCCACTAAATATTAATTAGGCTATTATGGTCAGACACTCACATTGATATTTCCATAGACTTACAACATAAGAAATGGTCCCTAATCCTACCTTAAAATTGAGTTTTCATGCTAAAGAGGTGATTTTTCCAGCAGAATGAAATGCCTGACACATAAAAATGTTCCTGTTATATAGTTGTAGCCAACCAAATTTTTTGCAAAATGACTTCAAAGAGGATTACCCCCCATTTCATTGAAATTTTCTGCTGATCACAGGACTGACATACACTTTTTATAAATGCAAATATCCAAGTCAAAATTATCATAGAGACTCATGAAATATTTCATTTTCTTCAGAAAAAAATGTAGTGTTACTTTTTAAATTAGTTTTTATACTTAAAAATACCCCATTCTCATCCAATCACCTCACGTATTAAGTGATTCATACGGTTTTCCCTGCACTTTTTTTCAGCCAATCGCTGGCCGTGTTACAATGCGATTCCCTGACCTTATAGCGTTACACAAATATCATTTACAAGTTTGCTTCTTCAAAAAGAAGCATGCGAGAGAGGTCTTTTTGTTGCTGTAAAAGATTAATTAAAGTCGAATATATTTGGGGATATTCTTGCATAAAAGACACAATGAGTAATTATAAATTACAATTATTTAACAAAATAGAATTTATTGTAGGCCTATATATATTATATTGAATATAGTACGAGATCATATAATGAAAGTTTGTTTTACACTTCATTTTTTAAATGTTTTGAAAGATTATATGTTTTTTTCTTGGCGCATTAGATATAGTTTTTTTACAAAGAGAAGTAAATTTAAAATTAATGATATATTCAAAGTGTTATCAAAAAGTTTCTTGTAAAATTCAATAAGCAAATTTTCAGTTGATGTGTTTTGGAAAGTATATATTTCCTTTACATTTTCCAAACGGGCATAAAATATGTTAATTAAACAAATTTAAGACAATGATTTACATAAAAATGTTTTGTAATTATTTGATTAGAACAAACAGTATCGGTATGCCTCGATCCAACCATACATAATATTTGATAAAAAATGAAACTTTAATAAAATCTTATTGAGTTTCATCAAGTGCCCGGGAGTATTATGTCAAATTTTACATATTTTGGGCAGATTTATGGTCCTTTTTCACATAATTTTGATGGGAAACCTGGTTTAAAGGTAATTTTGTCAACAATAACAAAATTTTTAAAAAGCAAAAACTCAATTACGAATTTTGTTTCAAGTGTATAAAAATTTCCACATTTTATTTTATAGTTATTTTATTTTAGCTGGATTACGAAATAAATTCTAATGTAACTCAAATCAGCCACAATAACCATTTATCGTTTTACTTCATACTTATACCTTATGTCATACCGTCGCCCCTTGTGTGTTAACCTTTTCCTTTATATAAGCGTGTTTCGACGGCTTTTTGCCCCCCCCCACCCTCCAATTTGAGGCCTCAAACAGTGAAAAAATGCCCTATTTAGACCCCAAACACTCTTTTTCGTTTGCGAAATGCTGTTAAAAAAGTGACCACTTTTTCGGCGCCATCCCCCATCCAAATATTACATCAGGGGGTTGCCAGAAGGGGGATGTGCCCCCTTCTGTTTGGGGGTTTTAAAGGGGAGCGGAGTCTCCCTCATCGCCAAGAAAATTTTGGACATGTGACACGCTAAAAATGACTTCAGGTCGATCTTTGGGTAACTAGTAACCGACGCTGAAAAGCCTTTTACTCTATCTCAATTCATTGAGGAGTTGCAGCACTTTGAAATCAGTTTTGATGGAAAAAAACAATGCAAAATAGTAATTTTTTGCAATTTGGAGACCACACCCATTGCCATGGTAACAGGAAATTTACCATTGAGCATGCTGTTACAGAGGCTATGGTGTAGTCAACATTTGTGCCAAGTTTCATTAGTATTGAAGCATTTTTCATAGTTTCATAGCAGTTTGAACTTGAGACAGGAGGCTTTTCAATGAAAACGGCCATTTTTTGCAATATGCTCATGGGGTAAATGATTAATTAAAAAAATAAAAATGTCAAAAAGCAAAAACTTTTCACCAAATTTCGGTGTTAGGGCATGTGTGTGTTAACATGGAAAAATTCTAGTTTTTGTGTAATTCCAAGGTTTTTAATCATTTTTTGTTAACCTTTTCCCTTATATAAGCGTGTTTCGACGGCTTTTTGCCCCCCACCTCCTTTTTGAGACCTCAAACATTGAAAAAATGCCCTATTTAGGCCCCAAAACACTGTTTTTCGTTTGAGAAATGTTGTTAAAAAAGTGACCACTTTTTCGGCGCCGTCCCCCATCCAAATATTACATCAGGGGGTTGCCAGAAGGGGGATGTGCCCCCTTCTGTTTGGGGGGGGGGGTTGAAGTTGAGCGGAGTTCCCCTCATCGCCAAGAAAATTTTGGACATGTGACAGGCTTAAAATGGCCTCAGGTCGATCTTAGGGTAACTAGTAACCGACGCTGAAAAGCCTTTTGCTCTATCTCAATTCATTGAGAAGTTGCAGCACTTTGAAATCAGTTTTGATGGAAAAAACAATGCAAAATAGTGATTTTTGGCAATTTGGAGACCACCCCAATTGCCATGGTAACAGGAAATTTACCATTGAGCATGCTGTTACAGAGGCTATGGTGTAGTCAACATTTGTGCAAAGTTTCATTAGTATTGAAGCATTTTTCATAGTTTCATAGCAGTTTGAACTTGAGACAGGAGGCTTTTCAATGAAAACGGCCATTTTTCGCAATTATGCTCATGGGGTAAAATGTTAATAAATACATTCTCAATCTTCGTGTCAAATTAATGTTCCAAAATAAATAACTTTTCTTTCATAACTCGCACGGACTTACATCTTTTTTAATAACTCTTACGCCAACATTATGACTCCCTTTGACATTAGCTTCTGCGATTGATATTTATATTATACGGTATTTATAGGTTATTTAATGTTAACTTCATTTGGGAGAAATAATATTAGACACCAGAACGGACCAATAAATGGTACGGATGCTTTGCACGTGTATTGACGGAACAATGTGAAATATATCAAAGATGTATTTAAGAAACACAATTAAAGTTTTGATGAGATATCTCTGTTAGAGAAGTTTTAATTCGGACCTTTGTTGTAAACTGGACGTTGCAATACATAGACATTGGATATTGTTTTGTATCCAGTTGCAACCTTTAAATTGTACCACGTGAACACCCCTTATATTTCTTTTTTGAATACTACTGGGCAGATTTACTTCAAATTTGGTCTGTAGCATCCTTGTGACAGTCACACTTGAATTTGCTCGGCCCCTTTTAGGGTCAGCAGAGCTAAAAATAGAAAAACCTTTAAACATCTTCTCCTACAGAACTAATTGATGGATGATCTCCAAACTTTGTCTCAAGCATTCTTGGGTAGTCTTTTATCAAGTTTGCTCATATTAATTTGATTGGCCCCTTTTATGGGGTCTCTAGGGCTAAAAATAGAAAAAAAAACCTTTAAACATCTTCTTCTACAGAACTAATGGATGGATGATCACCAAACTTTGTCTGTAGCATTCTTGGGTAGTCTTTTATCAAGTTTGCTCATATGAATTTCATTGGGCCCTTTTAGGGGCCGCTATAGCTAAATATAGAAATACCTTTAAACGTCTGTTTCTACTGAACTAATTGATGGATTATCACCAAACTTTGTCTGTAGCATTGTTGGGTAGTCTTTTTTCAAGTTTACTCATATTAATTTGATTGGCCCCTTTTAGGGGTCTCTAGGGCTAAAAATAGAAAAACCTTTAGACATCTTCTTCTATCGAACTAAAAGATGGATGATCACTAAACTTTGTCTGTAGCATTGTTGGGTAGTCTTTTATCAAGTTTGCTCATATTAATTTGATTGGTCCCTTTTAGGGGCCGCTATAGCTAAAAATAGAAATACCTTTGAACGTCTGTTCTATAGAACTAATGGATGGATGGATGATCACCAAACTTTGTCTGTAGCATTCTTTGGTAGTCTTTTCATCAA